TTTTACACATATATATTTATATTTGTAATTTCCCTTAAATAATGCATATATATTAAAGTATTGTTTTGTAGGAATTTGATTGATTGCTTACAGGATTTCATCATGAGTTGACAGAACCATTTGCAAACCTACAGAGAATACTGGACGGCTGTTTTGTCAGCCTAGTTTGGGACTGGGTCTTCAGTAGTACGCACCCACCACAGGGGTTCGAACCCAGAACCTTCCAGTTACGAGGTGAGCTCGTAGAATATTAAGCCACTGCGACCCTATCCGATAGTCAATCCATGAATCCCAACTTCTGTCCAGTACTCCCAGGTTTTCCAATGGTTCTCTAACCAATGTCAGCTCATGATGAAATCCTGTAACTAACGCACAAATAATTGGATAGAATTTTTCTCTTATTGAATTATGCAAGAAGTAATTTCTAATTAACGAACAATTAGACTTTCAGAAACGAAAAATGAAAAATTTAACATTTTTAATGATTTATGGTAATATTTGATTGCCTATCCCCAACGCCCCATCACACCTCCCCCTAAAAAAATCATTTTCAGTGAATTGAAATGGAAATGAAAAAGAGAAAGAGAAGTATTATTTGCCTGTATAATGGTTCTTGAGATGTACTACTCATATGTTGAATTTTCCAAGGTTTCTGAAAATGTTTGATCTCATTTTCAACGGAATAAAATGCTATTAAATAATGTTAGACTGTTGAGAGTAATATTACGGAAGTTAGGAACCTGAGTTTCATGCTTCGTGTCACTGCTCAGCAACGCCGAAGAACCTATGTGTCCAGTAGGATTTGAATCCTCATCTCCTTGCCCTGCAGTCACAGATTACTTGGTGCTCCAATTGCCCTATTACTGGGCTTTAACGGTTATATTGATTTGGTGGCTGAGGAGTGAAATCCTAACGGGGACATCACTTCCTACAATGCGACAGGCATATCTTGCTTCTAGATGCCAAACCTAGGTCCAGAGCTTTCTTCTGATTATCTCGAATCACTTAGTACTAATTCAAAAAGTGCATCTGAAAGGTCGATCCCGTAGACTAGTGTCTACACTTCAAACTTGGCTGATAGAATTCAGTCAGAACCACGAAAGACTATACACACTACATTGTTTACTCCTTATCAACCAATCAATAGGCTTTAAATTATTTTCTTCATTCCTGTATGTTCCCAGTGGAACATAAGGGGCTTCAGACTAGAGGCTTGAAGTTTCACTAGCAGTGGTTTTATTTTTATGGAATGGGGTTGTTACCCTTATGCCCAATCTTCCCCCTTCGCTAATCTTATTACCAGCTTAGCGAGGGGATCGGACCCCGGTCGATGCACTCCTTCACTTCAGAGTTGTAGCTTGGAGCCTTTAAATTATAGATAATAAATACCTAGAGGGATAACTTTAATTTTATTGCTGACATTCGACTGTAGATATGTGTGCAGAAATTTTAAAATTTCGGAAAATGTGGTCTTGCAATAATATTGTCATATTGCTAAGTTGGATGTAATGTTTCTACTACTATTTGAACAAAACAAGAACAACAGTTTGTGCAGAATAAGATGGTACCACTGTTTATTTCGTTGGCTTCTCGTCAGCTACATACGGCTTAAAAACAATTATTAATTCTAAGTACAGAACAATTTCAACATAAGAAGACGTAATTTGTCTGAATCGTGTAATGTATTTGCGCAACACATTCCAAACAATCTGATCACACTCAGACTTGTCATAGGAATATATATGAAATCAACAAAGAGTTAAGAGGTGAATAAAGTAGACACAGGTCAAGTTAAAAGGACACATTGGAGGTCAAAATAACAATGAAGATCACTAAACCAAATAATAGAGGTAACAGTATATCTAATATGGTATCAAAACAAAGTTTACCAAGGAAGGTAGGTTTAGTGTGATGACGAATTGTTGCTTTGAACGCATAAAGGTGGTTTAAACTTCCTAACTGCCAGCTAGGGCTTCTACAAACTTTAGGATCCGCCCCAAACACGTTCTATAGATAGGTTTAAAAGATGCCTTAACTTCAGTTTTATGTCCTGTCTCTATAATATGTTTCGGAATAGAGGAACTAGGTCATCTGTTCTCACGATTAATGGATTCTGGGGATTCTACTTGCTTCTGGAGCCATTTAGGAATATGCTGTGAAGCCAGCCCCTACTTGCAGAGATCGATGAGTCCTTCCTATGTATGTGTGGCCACACGTACATTCAAATTGGTTAATACAGTGGGATGTGACAACAATTCGTCATCACACTAAACCTACCTTCCTTGGTAAACTTTGTTTTGATACCATATTAGATGTACTGTTACCTCTATTATTTGGTTTAGTGATCTTCATTGTTATTTTGACCTTCAATGTGTCCTTTTAACTTGATCTGTGTCTACTTTGTCACCTCTTAACTCTTTCTTGATTTCATATATATTCCTATGACAAGTCCGTGTGTGATCAGATTGTTTGGAATGTGTTGCGCAAATACATTACACGATTCAGACAAATTACGTCTTCTTATTGCTTTTGTCTAAATTCATAAAGGGAACTGATTGTTTTATATTTCAACATACTTGCAAATGTTACATAATGTCACTTGACATAAGACTTCACATTTAATAAGTGGTGATACTATCTTATCCTGTACAAACTGTTGTCCTTGCTTTATTCAAATTCATAAAGGGGAATAACTGTGCAAAATGAAGTATTTTTATAACATTACTCTATATAATGTTTGTCCTAAAAGGTTTCATGATTTCCAAACCACGTAAAGTCTCACTTGAACTACAAAATGGTGTGTTTTGTAAGATGCTCATGCCTACAAATCTGAACATACTTTTTCTGAATATGTCAGCGAAATCTATTATTCAGGCAGTTTTATTCCACATTTTTAAGACCTTAGGACAAAAGGGAGTCTGAACAATTATGTAAATGAATAATTGTGACGATGTTAATAATTTAGACAGTAAGAGTCAGATATTCTTTACAAATTGTTTAACAAATAATGACCACTGAACGTTTGAGCTCTCACCTTACAAATATGGTCTGGTAACTGGCTAGAGAATGGAATCAGCTACTTTTTTGAGGTGAAGGTTAAACAAAGGTTAATTTTATAATATGCAAACCGAGTGAAATATTAAAAAGTTTTATTTCGGTGATTTCTACATAGAAACCTCACTTTAATTTGTAGGTCTCAAGTTACATCTCGGATTGACGTCTGGTAAGAAAACTGTTGGAAACCGGGGAGCAGTAGACAGCTGTTTCATTCTAGTTTGAGACTGTTCAGTACTACGGACACATGAACGCAGGACCTTCAGGTTTCAATTCGAGCCCATTGACGACTCAACTACTGATCCAGAATCCAGTGACCTATGGTGTACAACTTCGTGATCTTATTTCAAACCAATCAAATTCTTGCAAATCAAGAATTCAAAATTACTCTGTTCTCCTCCAAAGTTTCTTAAGTAACTGACTGACTGGTTTCAACATAGAACTTTGCACTCATGTGCAGCAGTTCCAGTCGCCACACTTCACTTAGCACACAAAGCAAGAGAAGAAAGTAAAAAGAAACACAAAATAGAGACGGTAAACAGAGATAATAGTAACATCGAATAACAATATAGTTTTATTGGGTATTATAGGTCACAAGGAGTGGATGCATCTGCTCTGTCGGTGAGAACGATTTTGAGCCATATCACCAATTGTCTCCAGTCACTGATGTTTACCGTCCCGAGGACCCCAACCAGAGTCTACATCTTCCTACGTGACTGGCTTAAACTAACTGTTGTTGATTTCATTGACTGATTAAGGCATGTTTTGGTTTGACCACCACTAGCCTTTTCTTTTCCAACCTGACCCTATGTCAGCTAACAATGCCTGTCGAAGAAGGTGGTGGCTAGGCATGCGTGCGTAACACATATCCTAGCCATCTCAATTGATGAAGCTTCACAGCCTTGTTGATTGGTTTCCCCTCCTTACCTAGCACCGACGCCTAACCTAAATATTGCTCACCCTATTATACCACCTAACACGGGAGAAAGAGTGTAGGCACCTGTGATCAAAGACAACTAGTCTTTTCATGTCTTCCACTACTTACAGCCAGGTCTCACTGCCAGAAAGGAGGACGGAGCAGACTGCTGAGGAGTGCACCCGCCCTTTGGTCGATAGCCAGCCGGATATCACGTCTACGCCAGAGACGGCCTAAAGTGGTATATGCGAAACGAGCCTTCTGTATCCATACTGAGATTAAGTCAGCGATCAACCCACTGTCATTGGCTGATGCAACTTCCCAAATAAGTGAAGTGGTCAAAACGCTCTACCACTTCACTCCCTATCTTTAAGCTAGAAGTCAATGTAGTCCAGTTCTATAGCATCATATTACATTTGGCGGGAGCGAATCGCATGCCGAACATTCGTAGATTGCATCTCAAGGTGTTCAGAAGACTCTGCATTTTGTCAGCGTCTTCACCTAGAAGGACTATATCATCTGCATTTTCTGAGTCAAAGAGATTATTCCTTGATAACAAGTCAATCCCTGAGTCTCTGAAGTGAGTTAAAGTTAAGTCCATTAGTACATCTATGATGAAACTGAATAGAAACGGGGACAGTGTGTCTCCCTGACGGGCACCATTAGTTGTCACCACTTCAGATGACAACTCGCCGTAAGCTCTCACCTGACTGCATGTGTTCGAGTAAAGTGCCTTGATCAGTGCAATGTATTTTCTCGGCATTCCTTTTACAGCCAAACATCTTAAGTAACTACCTCATATCCAGTGAACATTTGACAAAAACTGTTTACACTACCTCCATATTTTCATTCTACAAATGGTCGCTTATGTTTATTAGAAATTGAAGATAACGAAACCTGATGTGTGAGCCAGCATTCTACAATATAATGCTGAAGATTTCATAGTTTTACAAATTATTTATGCATGTTAGCTGTATTCTGAGGATAAAATTTGAAAACTATACACCAAAAGCATACAAACAAAACTTACCTAAATAAATAGGCTTGTTTTCTTACATGCTCATTAAGCGGTAGACCGATCAAATGTAGATTGTCCAATGTTAAACTCATCCAATTCGAGTCATCTAAAATCAGTCCATCTATTTTCAGTGTTTTAATTAATCCATTCATTCAATATTCACAAGGTGGGAAATTCAAAAACAAAACAAAAAAAACAATACAGTTTCATTGAGCAAAGTGTACAGAAATCATATAAGATGTTATTAACATTCTTGTATAAGGAAGACCATTTACCTTTCTGATTTAGTGATCTGAAGACGTATTCAATGTAAAGAGTTGAAAACTTACTTTACGCTTGGTTACGCAATAGTTAATTAAACAGACAGTATAATACAACACGAAGGAGCTGATTTCAGATCACTACTGTCTGTATCTCAACTGTTTATTTGTAAAATAACTCAAAGTAACTGAAATCATCTAATGGGAAACAATTGATATTAGTATATAATGATAAGAAGGTTAATCCAATGCGCTTAAATTGACTATATTGTGAAATACACTTTTTGCAAGAGGTATCTTCAAGTAAAAAGCTAAGTACAGCTATATTTAAATAAGAAGCAACTAGTGAAACAGGGAATCTAAAGCTTTTTGAGCTTTCAGAGGAAATGAGTTTTAATGAAAGTACCTTATCTTCCGACAAATCATAAATCTGATGTCTGGAGTTGAAGTAATGCTTGTCAAATCAAATTATCAGTTATTTTTGATTACCACTTAAACCATCACATGTAATAATTTTCTTAATTAGATTTGAAAGAAAGACAAATATGTGAAAAAGAATTCGGCGGTTCAATTTCCTTTTTAGACGTCCCACTGACAAGAAGACCAGGTGGTAGCATAAAAAGGAATTTGCATAAGAAAAGTACTTGGACTGGGAGAAAGTATACATTTTCATAGCTTGATTCCACTCTGGTATAAAAGAAATTTGGTAAAGACCCTCAGTTATTTGTTCGAAAGATGAGATTGGAGACGAACATGATTAAAAAAGCAGAAGAGACTTCTTTTGCATCTGTATATATTTACGACTACAATTCAAAGGTGATTTACCGTGTGAAATCATAACCAAAAAGTTGGAAAAATCGACCCATCGAACGTTGATTGCCGGTAAGCCCCAGCTTAAATTCTACTCAGGACCAGTTGTGATTCGAAAACTGAAAGATAAAGTAGCTAGGCTAGCCACCTATAGTTGTATCTATCAATTCAGCTGTTCCTATAGAGCCAATTATTTTGGCCATTTCCGTAGAAACCTAATTTCTCGTGATCAGAAACACCTACCAATGTGGTTAAATAAAGGTGTTGTTAAGACTGTCAAAAGTTCTACATTGAACCACATTGGAGAGTCTTTCTCTATCATCTATCGGGTATCACATAAATCACCAAATGCCTCTAGATACCGAACACTGCAGATAGCAGAGTCCATTTTAATCCGCCTAAATCAACTGGGGCTCTTCATCAAAAAGAAGCAGGTCCAGCCGCTACTGCTACCCTGTTCTGCTGCTGAGCCTATAAATTCGCAGATTCTGTATTGCTCCCCTTAGTTTATTTGGTATTTAGTTAACACATTCAGTACAGTTACTTAGTAGTTAAGTAGGCATGAATGAAGATGATATTTCAGCTTCGAGAGACCTGCTCTTATAAGATATAAGCAACAAATATTTTACTCTAACACCTGATCTCCAATGGCCTGCCTTATTTCTTTAAGTTCCCAGTGGAACATAGGGCTTCAAGCTAGAGGCTTGAAGTTTCTGTAGCAGTGATTATTATTTTTACAGCATGGGTTTGATAACCTCATTCCCAATCTTTCCTCTTTTCCAGTCTTATTACTGGCTTACCGAGGTAAAGGAGTTCGTCGGCCGGGGATCGAACCCCGAACTACCTGAGTGGTCGCCGAGCACTCTACCGCTGTGCCACTGATGCACGATCTCCAATGGAATGCTGTAATTTCATTTTAAAAAAAGTAGATGTAACGCTTGTAGAAGTTGCTTTTTTTGTCAACTTTGTATCTCATCAGTCATCTTTTAGAATGTAGTTCCATTTCATTTTTATCAAAGTTATGTTACGTCGAAATGATTTTGATAAAAAAGATTTTACTGTCAAACTGACAGCAAAATAAAATTCTATAGAATAGGAAATAATTCTTCTTAAAAAAAGTTGAAAAGTGAGGTCGTCATATATGGATGGGTGCATGTCTACCTGATATTTTTTAAATTATTTTGTAATAGGACTAGTCAAACGTGACGGAAAAAATGTAAATCCAGTGGACAGGTACACAAAGTTGAGAAAAGCCAAACAATGAGTATTGAAAAATGTCCCGACGGTTAATCCTTCTTATAATAAGCCTCTTTTGCGTTAAAAATCTACTTAAACAAACAACCATCTACGTCACTTCTGAAAAGATACAGTTATACTTGAGATTATTATTAATGCCTTAAGCTCACTGTGGAACATAAGGCTTCAGTAGTACATCTCCTTTTTGTCTGATTCTCTGCGGTCCTCTTTAGATCACTGAACAACTGCCCATAAGCTTTCATGTCCATCTCACACGATCTACTCCATGTCAACCTTGGAAAACCAACTCTCCTATTCCCATTTGTGTTCCACTCGATGGCTAGCCTGGCAAACGATATCACTCAACGGCCTCCTCAGAGTGTGTCTGATTCATCTCCATTTTCATCAGTATATTTCTTCAGTAACAGGTTAGTGTTTGGTTCTTTTATAGAGCCCTTTGTTGCTTATCGCTCCTAGTCGGCCATCTGATCTTCATTACGGAGCCAGTGAAGGCGGCTGTTGATAAAAGTCTGCAGCTGGTTGTTGGGAATGCTTTCGATAACGAGCCAAGTTTCTGAATCATAAAGGCAAGCTGGCTGACTTGAAATTAGTGTTTAAGACCTGAATTTTGTTCTTTATGCTGATTGCAGTCTATTTTCACACTGATTTTGGAGTCGTGCGTGACTGTCTTGTTTTCCCGATCTGCCCTTTGACATTTTCATCCGTGCCACCTGTAGTCGAAACAGTGGTGCCTAGATAAGTGAGAGCGCGTCGGTGGCATAGTGCTGAGGACTCTCGCCGACCATGCACAGGGTCCGGGGTTCGATCCTCCACCGACGAACTCCTTTATCTCGGTAAGCCAGTAATAAGGCTGGTAAAGAGGGAAGGTTGTGAATGAGGCTAGTAACTCCATTCTGTAAAAATAATCACCACTACAGTTGAAGCCCTATGTTCCACTAGGAACCCAAGGGAGCAATAATAATACAATAATAATACTGCTACAGAAACTTCAAGCCTAGAACTTGAAGCCCTATGTTCCACTGGGAACGTGAATGGATAATAATAATAATAGATAAGTGCATTCACTTGAATTCTTGTCTTTGTTGCTTCTTCTGCTAACCTGTTAGTTCTGTATATGAGATTGATACCCAGAAATTCTAAAAATTGTTCTATTTCAAATTTTGTTCTAAAATACCTTGCATAAGGGGAAATGTTTTATTTTCCAAATTTTTTAAAGCTATCATAAACTAAATGAATGCAAGAGACTACACTCGAGCCTGTCATATCTCTAAAATAACTCAAATTGTATAGTGAATTGCCAGTCACGAAAAGTTTCCCCACCCCACCTCCTTTCTGCTAACCACCGTTCAATTAGTTTACATTAGTAGTCTATATCGTCTCTGTGAAGTCCATTTTTCTAGCTCTATTCAAACAAAGAATTTAGAGGGATATCAATGCTATAATTTTTTTCCTTCACGTTCCCAGTGGAACATAGGGCTTCAAGCTAGTAGCTTCAAGTTTCTGCAGCAGTGTTTATTTTTACAGGATAGGGTTGATAGCCTCATGCCCAACCTATCTTCTTCACCAGTATTATTCCTGGCTTAGCGAGGTAAAGGAGTTCGTCGGCCGGGGATCGAACCCCGCACCATGTGCATGGTCAGCGAGCGTCCTAACCGCTATGCCACCGACGCACTAATGCTGTAAAGTCTCTGTAAAAACATTTTCTTTAGTGTGCATGGTAGAAGCAATGAAGTTTATCAATAGTTCCTCTTATTTTTGCATTCACCTCAGTTAGGTCTTTTAAATATTAATGAAGACAAAACTAGTTATTGACCAAGAACAGAAAGAAAAAAATCCGATTCAAGATAATTTATGCCCTACCTTCGTTGAAATCGATAATGTTCTTGTAGACTTTCTCTGCGAATTTGGATAAGGATTTTAATATTATCCTACTTAAGCAGTTTTAAAGCAATTTAAGTCTACTTCTTAGCAAGCTTGTCGTTTGCATAGTATACACATCTTTAAAGGCTAAAGATGTTTTTAGTAAGATTTTAATGAACCCATTACTTTTTCATATCTCTCTCTTATCAACATGAAGCATTCGCTTCTTTTACGGTTACTTTATAAGTGCTTTTTCACAGTACTTTGTCTCCAGTATACGCATTTCGTATGTGAAGATGTTTTTTTTCACATACAAAAGGAACAAACAAACAAACAAACTTGAATATAATCGAATCACATGACAAGTTAAACGTGTCCAACTTCTAATTCACTTAAACTTCGTCACAATAGTTTTTGCTTTGTCCAACCGGAAGAAAATTCTATATCATTCATTGACTTTAACTGAGATGGTCGGTAAAATTTTGGGTAATGAATGCTTTTTGATAGGAATTTATGAGAAGGGCGATTAGTGGGAATAAGACCAAAAAAGCTAATTGAAATTTTAATATTTCTATTTGCTTATATAAAGAAATAAGACGTCGGCTTCGATTTATGATATGAGGGTGCAATATTTGCGTTTCCATATTACTTCATGGAAGGCATCAGTGATATATCTTGAGTTAGTTAGATTTAGAATCCAGCATTCAGGTTTCCACTCTTCAATTCAGTGTGACTGCATCTCGAAGAGCAATGCAAAATATCATTTTGATTGGAATTTTGTGTACATAATCTTGTCAACTACCACAATCATGAGTAACATTCAATTACTTGAAAAAAATGACTGTTGGAATCAGTCTTCAATAGTAATAGCGAATGCCATTCACTTGTAGGTGCCACAGACTGACGCGTACTAAATGTATAGATAGATGGCTTTAATTGACTTTTGCAGAAAACAATTACTATCAAAAGGGAGAACCATCTGAAGGATTATAGAAGATTACCCATAGTGGAAATCTTGATTTCCTGGTAAGATTGAATTCCTCTTTCAGGCTTCAGCTTTGGACAGGACATGAGGTCGTGCAGCTTGGAAATCTACAGTCCCAATGATAAATATTATTATTGTCTTAGAAATGACACCGAAAGTGTTTGCGAATTTTGATGTGGTTGTGTTCTCTGAGCTGGATAGTTAATTTGCGAAGCTTTCATCACCCTACTAGGTGAAATCTTCAATTTGAAGTGAGCTTCAAGCTTATGTTCGTGAATACGAAGACGAAGGGGACGTCCACTTTGACCAATGTAGTGTTTTTCGCAGTTGTTGCAATTTATCTTGTAGATGATCTTGGTTTTATCTTCTTTCGCTGTTGAGTCTTTTGGTTGAATCAACCACGGATATCAATTCGATTGGGACAATGTTCAAATATTAGACAGAGGAAACAACATGAATGCTAGAGAATTTTTAGAAGCTTGGCATTCCAGTGAATCGTCAATCAGTAGACGCATCGAGATAGAAAAAGAAATTTACTAATCGATAAGAAGGAAATCTCACCCACAAAGGGTTAAAATTCAAGTCAAAGAAACAATCAGTTCCAATACAAGTAGCCTAGAGGGTGTGAAAACACACAAAAACAACCAATCACGTTCAAGGTCACCGGGAGAGATGATTAATAAACTCGTGGAGAAATCTAGAAGCTCACTTCAAATTGAAGTATGCACTGAAGATGTCACCTAGTAGGGTGATGAAAGCTTCGCAAATTAACTATCCAGCTCAGAGAACACAACCACATCAAAATAATCCACCTGAGCTACAAATCTTCTCCATCATATCTCAGTGTTGGCGAATGGCAGGCATCTCGGAGAACGAACTAAGAGTATGATGTTTTATTCAAACTTTGCTGTAATCGTTACTTAAATGTTTTCTTATATGAGATTATGAGACTGAAAATATTTTCTTGATGTGAAGAAATATTTAACCACTTAACAAAAAAAAATAGATAATCCAAAAGAGCAAAGCAAACAATTCCATCAGAGAATAGATTTTTCTTTGAAAGCACACACAGTGATACAGTTTTATTTCCTGATGACATTTCGAGCACAATATATTGATCATAATCCTATCAGGGTACTCATATAACTTCAAAACTTTGTTCATGTAATTTTTTTTACTTCTTATTCCTTGATTTTATTGATCGTAACATTTTCTATGCGTAGGTGGCACAGCGGTAGAGCACTCGCCAACCATGCCACACGTGCTCCGGGGTTCGATCCCCGACTGACGAACTCCCTAACATCGCCAAGTCAGTAACAAGACTGGTGAAGAGAGAAGGTTGGGCATTAGGCTAGCAATCCCATCCAGTAAAAATAAAAAACTACTGCTAGCGAAACTTCAAGTCTCTAGCTTGAAGCCGTATGTTCCACTGGGAACGTAATGCATCATTCCTATTACATGTGTTAATGATCAACTTCTTCATTCACCTACTTTGATTTCTGAATCTTTATTCATCGAGTCTACATTTGGCACGTTTAATAGGAGTGGCGCGGCGAGATTTCGAAAAGGGTTACTATCAATCAAATCAAGGGATAAGAAGTAAGCAAACTGCATAAGCTAAGTTTAGAAGTTATGTGAGTGCCTTGATACCGATTATGCGCAATAAATTATGCTCTAAACGTCGTCAGTAGATAATACTGCAAAACACTGTGTGATTTTGACAAATAAATTTTTAATTTATGGTAAAGTTATACTCTATCTACCACAGCGTTCAAGTTTTCTTCTTATATCAACAAAGCAAACAACGACAATACTGAATAATTTTCACAAATGCAAACACTTACGTGCATCTCTTAATTCCATGTATTGAATCCTCTTAGATGGAGTAATATTTTCTGGGTTAATAAACTTCTTAAAAGGTAAACCTAAAAAATTTTAAGAATTAATCAATAAAAATGCGCACATTATCAAATGATTAATTAATTAATTAAAACCATAAATGTAGATATCATTATCAATATGTTTAAATGATCTATATTTAAAATGTAGGCGCCAAATTCAATAGTAATCGGAGATATATTCATTTCACTATTTAATTAATTAAATAATTGAATTCCAATTAATTAATAACTGGTCCTTAAGAGAAATAATTAGCCTAATAATAATAATAGTAATAATTTTCATTTATTATTCAAGTTCATGTGATATCAAGGAGATTATTAATTAAAATTTGTAATTTTCTATTTACTTGTCTTCATTCTCTCTATTCATTATGAATAATTTACTAGCTGAGTACAAGGTAATTTCGAAGGAGAGTTAATTGGATTTTTTAAGAATACTCCCTATACTACTGTTACTACTACTACTGCTAATTCTATTGCTGATAACGATCAGAACAACAGTAAGTCAATAAAAGATCGCAAATAATTATTCATACTTATATTATTATTGTTTCCTTTAATACCTAGAGGAACACAGAGCTCCAGGCGCACGTCTCCATGCGCTCGATTCTCCGCCAACATTTCCACCTACCTCCACGTCTGCCGGCGTGCTTTCATCTCCTCTTCCCACAACCTCCTCCATGTCACCCTCGCGCTGATGACCAACTCACTGCTTCCCATTCGGGTTCCACTCGAATGATGGCCTGGAGTGTGAGGTCACACACTTGATGGTCTGTTTTCTCAGAGTATCGCAAATTCACCTCCGTTACTTCCTGCATATCTGTTGCACAATTGGTTCCTGTCGGGTTGATTCGCTCATTGTCAGAGATCCCTGTTGCGGTCGTTTTCTTGCCAGCCATCTGATCTTGAGTAGTTTTGAGCAAAGACAGTTGTTGACGAAGATCTGTAGTTTGTTCGAAATGCCCTTCGTGACGCACAGTGCAAGTCTCTGATCCGTCCGTATAGTAAGTAACACTGACTTCACATTGGAGTTGAAAATCCGGATTTTACACTTAATGTTGTGTGCTGTTGATCTCCACACATACTTGACGTGAGTAATGAAAGCTTGTCTTGCTTTCGCAATCCTCACTTTGATGACATTCTCATCAGTTCTGTTCACCTGTAGTTAAAAGGATGCTTCCCGGGTAGGTAGGTAGGTGGGTAGGTGAAGGAGGTTGCTTCCTTCAGATTTCTCCCATTTATGCTGGTTGTTGCCTGTTGTTGTTGGTGGTGTTGACCATGAATCTTCATCACCTCTGTTTTCTCTATGTTTACCTAAATTCCTATCTTTGATGCCTCTTTTACTAACTTGTTGGTTTTCACTTGCATACCTTCCATCTTGCGAAAGATATAAATACTAATAAATACAACCGAAATAGAAGCATGTGATAAGGAAAATAATTATTAACCTATGTGATAGGTAATAATGAGTAGTATTAACTGTTTTATCACATTTGAGTTACGTTTAACGAATCAGCTTTTAGGACCATACGTGATATACATATATATACATATATTCCTGAGATTTTTAAACGTTCTTTAGTTTATTTATTCTAAAACTAATGCCTACTACTCGGTTTCTCTTAATTCTACAATGATAGCCTTATTTAGGTGGCAGTGCGCTTTGAGATGACTATCATCGATGTAGCTGTGTTCTCTGACCTGAATGGCTTATTTGCGAAGCTTTCGTTTTCGTCCTGGACGACACCTTCAGTATAATGGTTTTTGGATGTCGCATGTTCAAAATAGGCTTTATGTCAATTAATATGCGAAGAGGAGCAACCTTAGTATATCTTTAAATCACTAACAGAGATTTTCGCTTTCACTTCTGTTAAAAACCTTGAACACTGCCTTGCATTTTCCTCATTTGTCATCTTTCTTACAATATACTACTTGACTTTTAGTAACTCTACTCACTGGCATGTAAATGTTTAGCTATTAAATCCTTCATGAGGACTTAGAGTGGGAGTAACACTGGTTGACCATTTAGGATGTTTGAAGCCAGATTGTTTTAAGTCAGAGGAGCGACGTGTTCACACCACTTGAGTTTCAGCCACCTATTTGAGTGCACAACTGATACATATTATCAAAGCAAGTCTTGGAAAATGCATCTTTCACTTTACTTCACTTTGTAATGTTCATGAAATTGGGGTCTAACCGAAATAGTTTACACTTGGATATCAGCAAAAGTAATTTTCATCTTAGGTTTCGCAGTTTAATTACTTTATCAGAAGAGCTTTTAGTCTCGGGAAGTGATTGATTCAGAAGTTAAGCAAATCAGTAGTATTTTACCCTGTTTCACTACTTTTTTTCCATCACATTCCCCAGTGGAACATAGGGCTTCAAGCTTGTGGCTTGAAGTTTCTGTAGCAGTGTTTATTTTACAGGGTGGGGTTGCTAGCCTCATTCCCTACCTTTCCTCTTCACCAGCATTATTTCTGGCTTAGCGAGGTAAAGGAGTTCGTCGGCCGGGGATCGAACCCCGGACCATATGCATAGTCGTCGAGCGTCCTAATCGCTATGCCACCGACGCCAGTTTCACTACTTGCTGAACCCTTAAGTTCAGTCACTTATAATGCAAACCATAGATTTCTGCTTCTTGTTTGGGTATACCGTTTTGAACTGAAAATATCATTCAATCGGATAGTTCTAGAAATTATTTAAAACTTGTGACACTTCACTTTAGAAAATTTTTAAATTAGTGATATACCATGAGGTCTAATACCTGCAGTTTATGTTGACTGATAGGTAAAAGACAAAAGTTTCTCTGTTAAGGAGAATTGCAACTGGTTTTATTTTATTTTGAGATTTTCTAAATTGTAGCTAAATAAATTGCGTATCTTAAGGGGGCTCCGAGTATAAGGATAATTGTTTCAGCGGTACAAGTCCATTTATGACATCTAGGTGCCAAACTGAACAGACAGTTTATTTACTGTTATTGTTATTCCATTTTGTCCTATTCTCTTCACTTCTCTTTAGCTGGCTCCACTTTCGACAGGAAGTTGTCATCTCCCCCACAAATGATCTCCTCCATATCGCTTTTGCATCCAATCTCAACTTGTCGTTTTCTGTTCAGGTTCCACTCAAGGATGTACCTGGTGCGCGATATCCCTCAACGGTCTTCTCAGCCTGTGTTCAATCAATATCCACTTCCCTCTGTATTTTTGTTGGTTAGTAGGATGTTGGTTAGTTGGTTGGTTCCCCAGAGTTCCTTGTTTCCTATCCTTTCTGGTAGGCCATCTAAAATTCAGGATCGCGCCAGTGAAGACACCCGCTGATAAAAGTCTACAATCTGTCTTAAATGTTTCCGGTCAAGCCAGTACCAATTTACAGAAACATATAGAAACAGTGACTTGAAATTAGTACTGAAATTTTGTATCCCGTTCCTTATGTTTAGTGGTGTAGATCTCCACAACAGTTTCTGAGAAACGTGAGTCTATCTTGATTTCCTGTTCCTATATTTAACATCTCCATCCATGCCACCTGTAACTAGAATTAAAATACCGCCTGGATAAGTGAAAGAATTGACCTTTTCCAACTTTCTCTCACTGATAATGATTGGTGCTTATTGTTGCTGGTCGGTTGTTATCTTCATTATCTTTGTCTCTCCAATGTACACCTAGATCTTGTCTTCTCTGACTGAATTTGTGTGACATTAGATATGAATTGTCCAAGTAGTCCAAATCTTCTCGCTGTTGATGGTCTGCTGCTCAGTTCACAATCAGGGATGTCATCAGTGATAGCAGATTTAATGCTGATTTCAATTCGAAAAAGTTTCAATGAGGTTTGTATTGTGAATCACTTGACAACTGAGCAATTATTTTCGAAATTACGATTAATACTACTTGTGTAAAATTAGTTGCATATGTTTAAAAAAATATGAAAAAGCCTTGTTCCTTTGGTTCACATGTCAGCTTTATGCATTATTCATTAACTCTACATAGTTTATTCCTATTAAATCAAGCATAAATATGAAACAAAATGTCTCTAATCTTTTCTTCACAAAAAACGATCTTATTATTTATTTATCAAGATATATATGTGTATATGTGTGCATTCATTTCCATTTTTTGCTTATTCTCATTATAGATGAGGAAAGAACTTAAAAGTTGAGTAGTATATAGGCTTGGAAACAGCTAAAGTAACCATCTGAAGTGCTTAGGAATTTCAGATTTTGATGTTAGAAAGATGTATTTTAGCCTCTATTTTTCAAATGTATTTTAGGCATCAGGTAACCATCAAACCATTCAAATCCCTCTGAAAAAGTTATCACCTCATCTTAAGAAAAAACAACTCAAAAGTTTTTATCCATAGTAGTATTTTTTTCAATGGAAGCAAGTAGTAGAGGATTTCACGTGAGTTATTCAACTGTGACAAGAAAAAAGCGAAGACATAAGCTTCAAGCTTCAAGAAAATCTTTCTGTTCACCGTGACAGTTTGAACAAGGCCTTGTGGGGATAGCTTTTTGTTGTGAAATAAGCGAATAACTGTAGACTAGGCTAGAATCAGAAAAGAATAAGTCAGGCTTCATTTATTCGCTACTTTGGGTATGAATAAATCATACAGTTAGTATTTGCTTTTTACTCGGGAAAAAACATGACACGTCTGGAAAAAAAAGCTGCAGGATGATACAATCAATGCCTTGGGGGAGAAAAAACACATACGAAGAGCAGAAACGAAACGCCGACTAATTTATGTGGCGAAAAGAAAACTGATTACTGTAACAATTTAGTCATTTGCATTAAATGCCTAGACATTTTAGAAGCATTATAACATCACTTGTAAGACATGCAGTAATATAGTGTGTGCTTCTAACATATTTACCACCAAATACACAGTGTTTCATCATTCGCTGTCATAAACGACCAGTTGATGGTATTTCGTTATTTTAATAAAAGAAAATGAATGAAGGTAATACACTGAGTGGACACTAACTAGCAGCTAATTTCATGTGTCCAGTCCTTTGTTGGGTGCAGAGGGAATTTCGACCTGGTGTATAATCAAAGTAAACCATTACAGTCCTACAGGAGGTCAATTTGCGGACATGAATAACTCAGTGGTAACGTCTCTGGCATCAGTAATGAGTGACTCAGATTCGAATCTCAAACGGGACATGAGCTCCTTCAGGACGGCAGATACACCTCCCTGACGAGTACCAGCAAATACAAAACCTATGTCCAAGGCCTCCAGCCAATTACCTCCAATCGTGTAACAAGAAAGCTAATACTCAAACGTAAGTGAATGCTATCAGAAACTGTAAGCGGTAGGGAAGAATTAGGCAAGGAGAATAAAATATGTTCGCATAAACAGTTATTATATTTGTGAAACAGGATGATTTGAAAAGTCATATTAGAATATATCACTTCATACAGTATGATTTTGAAGTAGGGATGAAGAATAGCTAAATCTACTTGATTATATTTACTTATTGATCTTCAGCTCTGTAATATATAGATGAGCTTCGTCTTCACATAGAATGTATATATGCTAAGAATTATCTCGTATCGACACCTTGGAAAAAACTGTTATCATTGCACATGTTAACTGCAACTCATTTTATTTAACAGTTATGATTACAATTAATTAATTATTTAATACAATTAATTAATTACAATTAATTAGTTAATTCTCTCAGCTGGTTGGTTTGGTTGCGGAGCTTTCGTCGTCCTTCTGGACAACATCTCCAAAGCAATGTTTAGCGTGAAGTGTAATGATTTAAATTTCTTCATGAGTGATATAATTGCGTCTCCTGGCAACCATCTTTACATATGTATTGACCATTTTCTATTGACTTGGATTTTAAACTTTCTGGTCACCTGATTTACTTTTTATTAGTTGGTATATTTCATCTATATTAACGTGTTTGTTAATTGCTTTTTCGTTTGAGTACCAGGCTTCTAGGAATTCCCTAACTGCACTTTTGGTGTTTCCTCTGTCTAAGATTTCGACATTGTCCCAATCAAATTGATGACCATAATTGTCTGCATGCATTGATACTGAAGAGTATATATCGTGTCTTTTCACGGCTGATTTGTGTTCTTGGATTCTAATTCGAAGGGGACGCCCACTTTTGCCAATGTAATGCTTGTTGCAATTCATACAATTTATTTTGTAAATGCTATTAATTTTATCTCCTTTTTCTGTTGGATCTTTTGGTTTGCATAATATCGAATTAAGCGATTTGATCGGCTTGTGTGCTATATCTATATCAAACGGTTTCAGTATTCTAGCTGTTATTTCAGGGATATTTCTCATGTATGGTAGGATGAATTTTCTTGTGGTCTTTGATGATGGTTCTTTGTTGGTGTTTTGATTCAACTTAAAACACTTTGTGATGAAATTTTGTGGATAACCATTCCTTTTGAAGACCGTTTGTAGGTATTTTTCTTCTATTCTTTTCAACTCTGGAGTGCTACAATGTTTTTGAACTCTTTTAAACAATGTCTGCACACAGTTTCGTTTGTGAGTAATTGGATTATTGCTAGTGTAGTTGAGCATTTGATCTGTGTGCGTTGATATTCTATTTAGTTGTGTATCTAAGTCTCCTGTGTTGGTTCTCCTGATTAAGACATCTAAAAATTGGATTTTGTTATCTAATTCTTCTTCTCTTGTGAATTTGATGTCTTCAAATATGTTGTTTATTAATTTATGAGTATATTCTAAATCATTTCTCTTAATTATTACAAATGTATCATCAACGTAACGTATCCAGATTTTCGGTTTAATTATAGGTAGAGCTATTAATTCCAATCTTTGCATGACGGCTTCAGCTGTTAGTCGTGATATGGGTGATCCCATTGATGTTCCTTTTATTCGTTCATATATTCGAGTATTGAACTGGAAGTATGTTGTGAGGCATAATTCTATGAGTTCTATGCAAGCTGGTAATTGCGTTTTTATGTTTTCATCACTACAGAGTAATTGTTGCATAGTTTCTGTTGCTAGTTTTGGACTAATTGAAGTATATAATGCTGTGACATCAAAGGACACAATTATTTCATTGTCTTCTACTTGAATGTTTTTGATTTTCTGTAAAAATTGGACTGACAAATTGATAGAATGGTCGCATGATTCTGTTAGGTAATTTAATTTCCCAAAAAGGTTTTTAGATAGATTATGTATTGGTGTTCTTGGAAGCGAAACGATTGGTCGTAAGGGAATGTTATGATTACAGCTGGTTACTGCTTAACAGTAAGTTGTCCATTTATTGTGAGGTTTCAGATTTATTAGAGAGATATATGTCTTAAACAACTGATGGAAATATAGACACTGATAACTACTGATGAAAAGCGATTGAAATCGAAATCGAGATTTTAAGCTGTTGGATGTTGAGGTAAAAGATTTTGTGTTTCAAATTTAGACGTTTATTATGGTGTTGTTCACCTTTTAACCCTAAACAACAAATCGAATTAAGTTACCCCATCAATAATATAGCGTAATTTTACACGAGGGGAATTTTATATCTATATATATAGTCTGTCTAATCAAGACATTCTTATAGTCCTTGTTTTTGTCTTCTGGTATTTTCTTATCTGAGTAAAGCAGAAGTTATTGGAGGGCGGCGGGATAACCATACTCGGGATTCAATCGACGTCTTAATCTGCTTGATCACATCAACTAATTACTTCATAAATCAACAGGACATAAAAATCTTATCAGTTGCTTACCTGCAGTAACAGTAAAATTCGGTACCACACTAGGCATGAATTGTAGATTGGCTGAAAGAAAATAATTAAGTATATTTATGACTAATACGAAACTATTAGTTTAGAGAGATGTTTCAAAATATATCATTTTGGTATTTTTAAACAAAACAACTTCAGTTGTTTTTATAAATATAAGAAGTAGATACTATAAACGACAAAACAAAATATTGTTATCAGAAGACTCGTTACCATGAGGGTTATGTATGTGAGAAAAGAGCTCCTCAGAACATTCCTCCACTTTCATGATGCGGAGTGTTGCATATTTTTCGTTTACCTCACTGTTCCCAAATTAGATCATGGGGTTTGTAAGGATTTCGGAATAACTTTAATTGTCAAGTTTCCATCACAAATAAACATCAGTTAGAGGGACCATTGAAAACCAGGAAGCACCTAACCGGTGTTTCGTCTTATTTCGAGACTGCTCAGCAGTGCGCATCCACCAGGGATAGAACCTGAGGCCTTCGGGTTACGAGAACAAGCTTGCTGATCATTCAGACAATTGGGCTGGAATTCAGTGATCCCTGAACTTTACTCGTGATATAGCGCTGCCCTCACTAAGGCCTTTGATGAGCATCTACTTCACCTTGGCATGATGAACTCCGCTGGTCAAAATTCTCCACTGCAGTGTCAACCTGAGTAGCTGAGTGGTCACCAAGCTTAGTTTCGATACCTGAAGGTCTTGGGTTCGAATTCTGGTAGAGTGGGGGTGCACACTCTTGAAGAGTTCCAAGATCTGACGAAGCAGGTATTCACTACCCTCTGATTTTCAACGATTCAGTGATTCGTGACGGAAATCCAAAAATTCAAAGTTAATCCAATATCCTCACAAAATCTGTAATCTGAATATTACTCACTGACAAGTGAAATTTCCTCAGTTAAATTCATATTTCTCCGAAGAGTACTGAAGTTGTAAACAAATCCGTCGTATAAACTCCGATGTATTAGAATTAGTCATATATTAAGACATTTTATTGTTAAATTTTGCGGCTATATTTTTAACTGTACTGCTATTATAAATTGGATGCAATAAGGCAGATACAGACAACTGATTATCTACTTATATTTTCACCATTTCTGTCTACTGAAAATATTTAAGTTAGCAGAGATCACTCTTTGTAAATGCTCATACATTCTATTCAGATAATTATTGTCTCCAAAAGGGTTTTTGCAGAACATTGAACATTTTCACTTGACAAAATTCTACAATCATGGAAACGTTTAAATGAAATAACAAAAGTTGATTTATTAGAATTAATAAAAACAGTTTTACATCTAAAGTTATTGATGGGAAATGTTTCTGCAAAAAACATTTTTTTTAAATATTTATTTAGATGAAATATTTTATTAGAAGTTAGGTGGTGGATGGTGACTAGCAGTGGAATCCAGGATGTGCCTTTCGTCCTATTTGGGACTCGTCATCTGGGTGTATCTCTTTCCGCAGTGAGTGATGATGTTCCCACCGAGGCTTGAAACCAGTGCCCATAGTCTCAAACGCCAAAGTGTTATCCACTGGGTCACTTGGGCCACGAGAGCCACCTCTTGTGCAACAGGTCATATTAATTATTTAAGTGAATTTTAGATTTTTCCGTCGATTGATTGGACCGAAGTGCTCGGTCTCAGGCTGACGTGTTGGCTTCTTGTGCAGATGCTTCGACGATGTCTGGGCATGCAGTTAGAAGTTGATTGGTGTATGGTGACTAGAAGTGGAATCCAGGATGCGCATCCCGTCCTATTTTGGACTCGTCATCTGGATATACCAAGTGGTTTAGTGGATAACGCTTTGGCGTTTGAAACTACGGGCACTGGGTTCGAGCCTCGATGGGAACGTCACCACTCACTACAGAATGCAGGTACATCCAGCTGGCTGACGAGTCCCAAATAGGACGAGATGCGCATCCTGGATTCCACTGCTAGTCACCATACACCAATCAACTTCTAACTACATGCCCAGATATCATCGAAGCATCTGCACAAGAAGCCGACATGTCAACCTGAGACCGAACGCTTCGGTCCAATCAATCGACGGGAAAATCTAAAATTAAATTAAAAGAAATATTTTATTCTTTACAGTTTATTCCTTTGATTGAACACTAAGTGGTAAGTAAGTGACTAGTGTCATTGTATCTAGTCCCCTTTTTAAGTGTTAACTAAATTTTACTAGTTAAGTTTACAAGATGACCACCATGGTTTATTCCCTTCAAAGTAAGTTCATCTCATACTAAATGACCGATAAATCTTTTTTGAAGTAAAATTCAAAGAAATTCAAATGAAAAAAGAAGAAGAAAATATTATGAAGTAGAGATGAACAAAGAAACATCGTCGTCTTGTGACCTTAAGAGGTTGGTCTCATAGTAACCTTATTCATATCGTTTCTAATATTAACTGATTACAATTATTATTTTTTGATTTACTAAAGTTTTACTTATTCTTCTGTGATGATAATATAGACTTAACATACTTATCCAATTTTGTCCACTTTTAACACCTTGTTTTACTCCTTAAAAGATTAGAAGGAATAAAGGAAACAAATAAGGGGAATTATGAGTGTGAAGAGGAAGAGAAAGGAATAGTCTATTATTGTATCGACTAATCTATTGCTTTTCTAGTCTGTGTATTCCTCCCAGTTTTTGTCCACTCCCTCGCCTCATCTATTTGTGCTAAAGCACTAACGGAACACAGGGTACATTTAGAATTTCAACTGAAAAATTGGACAGGTAATCGTTCTTATTTACCAACTTGTTGCTTAAGTTATTTTAAAATAAATAAATAACTACTGCATTTCTAATTCTGATTATTTTCCATGCTATATACATATAAATGGTAGATCACTTAAAGGGAAATAAGACTAGCATCTACTACCTGATTTCTCTGTTCTTAACTTTATGTAGCGTTGACTTTTAAATCTGAGTCTGAATCTGTTGGAAATTATTTCAACAAAAGAAAATTTCCTTTAGCATCTTACAGCATAATTCATATGTCAGCGTTATCAAACTTAATTTTATATCTGAGAATGCGGAAAGATGCATAAATGAGAAGGTTAGCGAAGAAATCCTACATCGAGGTGTGGTAATTTAAGTCGGTAAATAACTAAGCACAAATAGACAAAATTACAAGGAAGTGAATTAAATTCAAATATTATAGGAATAGCCACTAAAGCAGACGGAAAGTGTTCAGAGTTTGAGAGTAATGACTGGATAGATTTGTGTTTCAGCCATCGATTTTAGACAGTTTGACGGTGTTAAATATAGATCAGAATCTTAGCTGACATTTAAGAATCCTTACCTTTTTACTTACTCTCTGTGCATAGACGGTTCAGTAGTATGTCCCTTACCAACCAAACAAGTGGTCGAGAGTTTGATTCCTAGCTGACGCATTCCTAAACCTCGCTTAGCCGATAGTGAGACAAGCAAAGAAGTAAGATTGTGAGTGAGATTAGCAACCCAAGTGTCAGAGAGACTTCAAGGCTCAAACTTGAAGCTCTACGTTTAACTCGGGATACAAAGAAATAAAAAAACTTTCTATCAACGTTATCACTAGTCTTTAGCTTTTTTTTAAGCGGTTTATTTGTAAATCGCCATACCAGTGAGCTTGTTTCACCTTATTATTTTGTGATGCTCATTGTTTCATGCGGTTCTATAATGCAATTCAGAGGAAAATAATGTTTCGGCATTAACTAATGGTATTAGATTTGGTGAATTGAGGTCCGTTTGTTCTACGACGTTTACGAGTATGAAATAAACTGTTATATATGCATGAGTAAAAGTCACATTGGATGGAAATATCTATAATTATTACTCCAGTTAATTAGTAACGAGAATAAACAGATTTATTTATCTATCTATCTATCCCAAGTCTAACCATAATGAAGCATAAATAGGGTTGATCTACAGCATATTTATTTTCACCGAATGAAAATCGGTGTGTCTGTTCAAAGCAAAGCTAATCAGCTATGCTATGTGGTCACTTGCTCATCGACTGACACAGCATTATAGAACATTTTGTCTGGTGTTGGCTGCTATAAGTAAACCAATAGAGAATCTTGCATCGGTTAAGTGTCTGCTTTACAGTTATTCATCAGTAAGGACTAAATGTTAGTTCTCATCTTTCACTTTCAAAGACGTGGAACTTTTCACCCATGTGCAGCAGTTCCAGTCGCCACACTTCACTCAGCCCACAAAGCAAGAGAAGAAAGTAAAAAGAAACGCAAAATAGAGACAGTAAACAGAGATACGAGGCAAAAATAAATAATAATAAGGAAGAACTATATAGTTTTATTTGAAATTATAAGTCACAAGGACTGGATGCATCTGCGCTGTCATTGAGAACTATTTTGAGCCACATCATCAATTGTCTCGAGCCATTGGTGTTTACCATCCCGAGGACCTCAACCAGAAGTCTACATCTTCCTACGTGGCTTAAACTAACTGTTATGGATTTCTCTTTTCCAACCTGACCCTATGTCAGCTAACATTGCCTGTCGAAGAAGGTGGTGGCTAGGCATGCGTGCGTAACACATGTCCTAGCCATGTCAATCGATGGAGCTTCATAGCCTCATCTATTGATTTCCCCTCCTTACCTAGCACTCGACGCCTAAGCTCAATATTCCTCACCTTACTATACCACTTCACACGGGAGATAGAGTGCAGGCACCTATGATCAAAGACAGTTTGCCTTTTCATGTCCGCCACTCTCATTGGCCAGGTATGATTTTGGGTCACTCCTCTTTGAGGTCAAGAGATATGAAATGTTTCACACAATGATGCTGACATGTTTGCAAGGAGAATCTTTAAAAAACTTTTTTATTGTTGTATAAAAAAAGGCAACTTCAAACGACCGACTTACATGACATATACAAATGACTATCTGTCCATCTACTTAGTTCAGATCTTATTGTTCCTGATTGTTGAGAATTTGATGAGTATACTTTCTCTTCTAATTGTTTTGTTATTCGTTTAACCAAAAAACAAGCAGAATTTTCTAAATTTAATAAACTAACCGACTCCAGCACGAATGGTTTAAATGAATTTTTCTTATTTTGTAATACTGTCTCGACCGTGTCCAATTGAGATAGTTGACAATCACTGAGTAATTTTGACAGTCTTGGGATACTATTCGGCTGGGCATAGAAGTTCATTGATTCAGGAATATGTAATAAATTTGTATTTTGAGTAGGCTTGCTCATAATTGATTCATTTGACAGAAGAAATAATTCTTCACCTTCTTTTGGTAAACCCAAAGGTAAAAATACCCAATCCAATTCAAAGAATGCTAGAAAGATGAAAAATATAATTGTAAGAATAATAAGTTAAATAGGTAATAAGATAATTATCGGAAAATTATAAAATTGGTTTCACCAGGTAGTTGGAGTGATTGTTAATTGAAGTGATGATGTGTTACACGTTAAGCACTGTAGTCAAAATCCTCTGTCGTTTATGAACAAGCATTTACTTCTTCGCTGGAAGAAACATAGTGATTTATACAGTCAGTGTTAGTTTATCGTAGAATACGCTGAATTTCAGATTTTCTAAGGGGGAAGGTTTTTTGGGAAGTTTTCAGAACCAGAGTGTTATCGATCCCTTGAGTTCCGAGTGGAACGTAGGGCTTTAACAACACATCTCCACTTCGTTATTTTTTCTGCTGTCCTATTCAGCTGGGTCCACGACTGAACAAACTCTCTCATCTCTTCCTCGCACGACCTCCTCCATGTCATCCTAGGACGACTCACACGTCGCCTCCCATCCGGGTTCCACTCGAGGGCCTGGCGTGCGATGTCATTCGACGGCCTCCTCAATGTATGCCCGATCAATCCATCTCCACTTTCTCCTACATATTTTTTGAGCGATCGGCTCTTGTTTGGTTTGTTGCCAGCCAGAGTTTCTTGTTGCCTATCTTTTCTGGCCATTTGATCTTCAGTATGGAGCCAGCCAGCGAAGCGAGCAGTTGTTGATGAAAGTCTGTAGTATACTGTTGGAAATCCTCTTCATGACACGCAGTACAAGTTTTTGACCCATATAGAATAACTGACTTCACATTTGTATTGAAAACCCGAATCTTGTTCCTTATGCTCAGTGAGAGCAGAAGATTTCTAAACTGGTTTCAGGTTGATGAAGGCGTATCTTGCCTTTCCCATTTAGACTGGATTTGACGTCATCCGTTCCGGCTGTAGTTGAAACGATGCTTCATGGATGTATGAGTGAAGGAGGCAACCTCTGTTAAATCTCTCCCGTTGATGGTTATTAGTGCTGGTTGTTGTTGCTGTTGATTGGTTATCTCCATAACCTCCGTCTTCTCTGTGTTCATCTGCAGTCCTGTTTTCGCTGCCTCTTCGGCCAGTTTGTAGGTTTTCACTTGCAAGTCTTCGAGTCTGTCTGACATTAGACATATATCGTGTGCGAAATTAGAGTATAGTCTATCAAAAATGCAGTAAAGATAGTAGAATGGAAACATTGTTTGATTTAACATAGACTCTAGTGCGTCGGTGGTACAGCGGTTAGAACTTTCACCGACCATGTACATGGTCCGGGGTTCGATCCCCCACCGACTCACAACTGATACCAGTGGTCGGCCTGCAAAATTTGGGCTACCGAAATCACATGCTGAAAATTCCATACTTGTACCGAAAATCCGGTGTGGAATAAAGCTATAATCAAAAAAGCTTGTTAGTTTATGCTCTAAACCAAAATAGCTGGCACAGTTCAAAAGGAGCATTATTCGAAATTTTATCAAACCTTTAATTGTACAACATATTTTATTCACATAGTGACTATTTTATGCATCAGTATTAAGAATTGAGTTAACTGTATCACTGACAGAAACTATAGGATGCTTAAACTCCTTTCGGCTTTGAATAACGTTTTTATAAACTGAAGAATACAACCTATTGTTTTTGATGATAGATGGAGGTAGTGAACAGATTTCCTGAAGTTATCGACACCTAATCAGGTAAGATTTTAAAAAATTTATTTATTTATTTTTCAGTCGTGGCTTAAAGTGTATCATACGTACTATTATTATTGATTCCTTGGATTCCGATTGAAAAATAGGTGTCCAACAACACGCCTACACTTTGTTCTATCCCTTGTTTTCCTCTTTAGCTAGGCCCACGATTGTCCATTATCTCTCATCTGCTCCTCCTCCTCCCACTATCTCCTACATGTCACCCTCGCACCGATGACCCACTCGTCGTTTCCATTCGGATTCCACTCAAGCGCTAGTCTAGTGCTTGATGTTATTCAACTACCTTCTCAACATATGCCCACATCATACGTAGTGAGTTTCATTAATTGTATTTAATGTTATATTAACAAAATTATAAAGCGCTGAATTAGCTAAGAAAGTGTTTAAATTTCTAGCTCTGTCTTTCATCGAAGCATATCTTTTGTCAGACTATAGCTCTTGCTAATGTAAATAGTTATAAAGAAGGTATCTGTGTGAGAAGTTCAACATATGTCCGCATCAGAATATATGCTAAATGACGATAGTTTGCGTTGTATATCCCCTTCCTCATCCACAAGCACTGCAGTATTTGTAGTAAGAAATATTAAACATACAATAAGAATTGGAAGTGAGACTTTGCATTATAATGCCTACTAATAAACTCCATTCAAATACATTTCAGAATGTAGCTGTACACATTAAACAAAAGAGTTAGACGAAAAACCTAATTGTAATCAAGGCTGTTTATCAGTAATACTCAGATAAAAAAACCCTTCTTTAGAGAATATTTCAAGCATATGCTACTTCTAAGTGCAATTAAGAATGTTCATGTTTGTGTTTACATTAAATAGAATCTAAACATAAAAATGTTTAATGTTATTTTCTTTCTTAATGATAGTAACTTCTTCAAGTTCATGGAAAATCCCCATTCGAATATTAAAAGAGAGAAGACCAATAGTTTGGCCAAGAGTCTCTTTTCGGCGAATTCATTTTCACAGCTGCACAATCACAAGTATATATGGTTATTTTGTATATGTGTTTACATTAACTTTGTCAAACGAAAATACAATTAGTAAGTTTTGGTGCAGTTACGCGGAGTTACAAAAAGCGTTCAGAGGAATTGGATGTTGATATAAGGTGGTAACAAAAGTGACGAGTTGTCACAAAGGATTGCTAAAGAGGAGTTACATAATAACACGAATAATTTGATGAAAGAGTTGTTCTCAGGGTGTACATGGAAATAAAATAACATACGGAATTACACAAGAGTTTTAAAGAAATACAAGAGTTTTAGGTAGTTAGAAAAAACAAGCAAAAATTAAGTCAAATCAACAGAGTTGCTATCATAATAGTAGAAGTAGTTGAATAATTTTCTTTTGTATGCATAGTTCTGGTTCTTCTAACTGTGAATGGCTAGGGTTTCTGCAATACAAAGAAGACAGAATCGTGTTGTCTTTGCTAAGTTGTTCTTCACTTTGTAGATTACTTTGAAGCTGGAGGCGTTTGTTGAGGTGGAATGACCAGTGATGATGAGATGTTCGATTATTCCACTCCTTATATGGCCACTATTTCCTTTCTGCAGCCACGCTGAGTAGTGTTCTTTGACCCTTTTGGACAGGATGCGCGTTGAACGACCGATGTACCTGGCTCCACAGCAACAGGTGAACTGATATACACACATAGAAGTGGTCAGGTGCGAGATCTTGTTCTTTGGGCTTCCGCAGATCAGCGAGCGACTGGAGAACACTACTCTCAGTGTTGCCGCGAAGAAAGTACTTCTTAAAGAAGTGGAAATTCTCCTCTTAAGGACATAAGTGAGTAGGTCACCTTTGAAGTCGAAGTTCATATAAAGTATCTTTTTTGGCACGGATGACGTCTCTTGCTTTTGGATTTTCTGTTTGATATTTTTGTCTATGAATCTTGGTGGATTTCTTTCAAGTTTTATGCGAACTGGTAGTCTTGTGGGGAGACGTTTCAATAATGAAAATCTTATGGTCACTTAATACTTCAAAAAGATTATTCTCTTCTCAACTACTGATCATACATTTTAATCTCATGTAAAACAAACGGAAACTAAGGGTTATATATTAGTGATCTTCATACAATTCATCTGCTAAATTTAATTTACTTTACGGTATCTTATATTATTTATAACTTAAACATAATTACTCCACAACGGTCAGCATATCCCAAGAATACCTTCATATTCATATTCTAAGCTATGATACCTGATTAATTAGATTGTAAATGAGTATAGAGGAAATATTTAAAGCTAGTCACTCACCTGACTCAGATCCATTTTGAGGCATTTTAAATTGTATTATCTAATCAAAAAAAATTAGAAACAAGAAAACAAAACAACAAAAATTGGAGATATCAAGAGATAAAATAAACTGAAGGGAACAACACCACCTATAATCAATTATCCAGAGAAAACTTTATTTCATCCCTTCGGCTTCTGCATGAAGATGGAAAGAAAGACTACTGAAATAATGTCAAAGATATAGCATCTGTAAACTCTTGATAGTAGAAACAAACTAGTTCACAAGCATTGACTGCACACAGAAACACGTGTATCGTGTGTGTTTGTGTGCCTAGTCATGAATAAACAAACAAACAAATCTACTTATCTTGAAATAGAAACAAGCTGTTTGTAGGTAGCACTTAAGTCCTCAACGAAACGCGAATAAAGCAGTTCAGTGGCAGTAAACAAATTGGTACTTGAAAGTTATAAAAGCAGATTGGTTTATTTTACAAGTTTACTCTATTCAAGTTTGATTTTTTGAAAGTGTCCTGCTTTTAGGTTGTAATTCTATAAAACAGGAAATTATACAATTTTCTATCATATCAGCACTATTCGATTTGTTATATATTTATAGTAGGTCTAAAAGACGATAGATGAATATTACACAGCTTCCCATCAATAGTTCTTCACTGTGCCAAATGAAAAGACTGAGGGATGTTTGTTTAACTTTTAAGGAAAATAAACTGTCTTTAACCTGTGAAAATAACCACTATTTGATACAGTGCAAAAGAAGTTCAGATAAACACCGATAAACATATTATGGTTATTCCAAACTAGGAAAAATAAATACAACCAAAATGATTCCGTATATTCTCAGCGGTAATATATTTCAGTGGTTATCCTTTTTTTGTATATGGATAGAATTAATGAAAAAGAAACTGAATTATTTCAGCCTCATTCTTGCAAATTTCAGTATTATTGTAATATTTTTGTTTCCTTTAATTCCTAGAGTAACACAGGGCTCCAGCCGCAAGTCTTCATTGCGTTCGATTCTCCGCCAACCTTTCCAACTGGCTCCACGTCTGTCCAAATGCTTCCATCTCCTCTTCCCACGATCTCCTCCATGTCACCCTCGCACTGACAACCAACTCGCCGCTTCCCGTTCGGGTCCCACTCCAGAGGTGGCTCGGCGTGTGATGTCACTCACTTGATGGTTTGTTTTCTTAGAGTATGGCCTCCATTTCATCTCCATTTCTTCCTGCATATTTGTCACACAGTCGGTTCCTGCTGGGTTGGTTCCCTCATTGCCAGAGATCGCTTCCTGGTGTTGATCTTTTCTAACCAACCATCTGATCTTGAGGGGATTATTGAGCGAAGACAGGTGTTGATGAGGGTCTGCAGTTTGTTCGAAGAGGCCTTCGTGACACGCAGTGCAAGTTTCTGATCCGTCCGTATAGTAAGTAGCACTGACTTCACATTTGAGTTGAAAGTCCGGATCGTATTTTCATTTCCATGCTGAGTGCTGTTAACCTCCACACATATTTGACGTGAGTAATGATAGCTCGCCTTGATTTCCTGATACTCGCCTTATTGATGTCCTCATCAGTTCTGTTGGCCTTTAGTTGAAACGATGCTTCCTAGGTAGGTAGGTAGGTGAAGGAGGTTGCTTCCTTCAGATTTCTCCCATTTATGGTGGTTGTTACCTGTTGTTGTTGGTGTTGGCCATGAATCTTCATCACCTCTGTTTTCTCTTTGTTCACCTGAATTCCTATCTTTGATGCTTCTTCCGCCAACTTGTTGCTTTTCAGTAATCTAGATAAATTTATTAAAATTTTCATTCATAGACACCAATGTATCAAAACTTCCAAATTCAGTAGGTAGCATTAAGCTTAACACTTTGTGCAGTTATTGACCACTCATTAGAATTCTAGGCTATCCCTATTGATTGCAGTCAGGAATGTTCAGTGGAGAATTCAGAAACTGAATTTTTGTAAGGAACAGATTGATTTTTGAAGACATCCACTTGCTTGCTGACAATATCGTTTAGTGTCACAGTCATACTGCAGTTTGACAGAAGTTGAAATTCACAGACCAACAAATTCCTAACTATTGGTCGACTGATACATTCTTAAGTGCATGGATTCGATCGATAGTGAAGTTTAGAGTATGTACTGATGAAAAATCGAAGATTATGTTGAAAATTTTGTGTAATATTTTATGATTTTTACATATTCTCTGGCTGATTTATATTAAAACCAAAAACAATGACTTCCAAATGTGATGCTGTCATCATTTTACTGATCTCTGTGAAAGGATGATGTAAACGTAATGCATTTAGTCTCATTCGTCATCCATGAAAACTCATTTTTGCTTTTGATTTTCTTTTTTTTATTTGGGGTGGTGGATCTCGTCAAATTCTTCTGGAAGAAATGGCTTAAACTGATGTCAGGAACAGTGAAAAAATCTGAAGCTGATAGAGTAGCAAAATTAATAAAATGTCCACACCCTATTCTCTATCTTAAAAAATTCTTTCACAAGTATATAAATTTTTGACTCCCCGTTTTCACCAAACAGTTGGCAGCAAATAAGACGATGCAAGTTATAATCAAAGTAAACTCGAATAACTCATTTGTCTGATTTTTCCTCTTCTGAGGCGTATTCTTACTAGAGGGAGGAATAAAACTCCTTAGTAGAAGTCTTAAAATAGTAACGTTTATCGTGACAGCCATGATCTCATTCAGAATTATGTCAGCTAGATTGTTATAGCCAGGCAGTTTTCTTCAACAACAAAATAGGATTTCCTTAACAGCAATCGAAAATTGATGACTTGAAATGTTGGAATAAACTGTCTCAGATACCAGGGTAGTGTCACTTGTTCAACTGATTAGATTTTCTAACTGAAAATTTGCATAAAATTTGTTGGTATTTAATTTTACCTCACAAGATTTCGACAATCTAATCAGGCTAGACAATTGACATTTCCGTAATACACAAGAAGAAGTTGACACATTCCATCACACCTGAAACTTTCACTCAGTATTTACTCATAACTTTCAATGCAAGTCAAACTTAGAACCATCAAGTTTGTAAGACAGTATTTATGGTTTATGGTCGATAGGCCAACTTTTACTACTACAAACTAAACTTTTGTGCCTACTGAAACATTCACTCCCTTTGTTGAATTTGAATAAGGCATTAAGAAGATAAACATCGTGAGATGATACCATTTCGTAGTTTTTTCTACACTTGCTTTACAACTAACATGGTTCACAATAATCTAAAATAAAATGTACAAACAATTAATTTGGTTGTATTAAACAAAAGTACATACTAACAACCAGTCATGTGAAGTAGTCCATGATAGGCGAAGTTTGAAATCTATTGTTTTGTGTGTGACTAATCTGAAGTGATTCCATCACCTTATATTATTATATTATTGTTTCCTTTAATTCCTAGAGGAATATAGGGCTTCAGCCGCAAGTCTCCATCGCGTTCAGTTCTCTGCTAGAATCTTCACCTGGCTCCAAGTCTGCCCACACGTTTTCATATCCTCTTCACATGACCTACTCCAAGTCACCCTTGCACTGACGACCAACTCGCCACTTCCTATTTGGGTTCCACTCGAGCGATGGCTTGTCTAGTGATGTCACTTGATGCATTGTTTCCTCAGAGTATGGCCAATCCGTCTCCATTTCTTCCTGCACACTTGATTCACAATCGGTTCCTGGTTGGTTCGCTCATTGCCAGAGATCTCTGTTGCTGATCTTTTCTGGCCGGCCATCTGATCTTGAGTATTTAGCGAAGACAACTGTTAATGAAGGTCTGTAGTTTGTTTGAGATGCTCTTTATGACGCGCAGTGCAAGTCTCTGATCCGTATAGTAGCACTGACTGACTTCACATTGGAGTTGAAAATCCGGATGTTATTTTTGATGCTGAGTGCTGTTGACCACCACACAGACTTGAGAATAGTGAAGGCTTGTCTTGCTTTTCCGAATCGTGCTTTGATATCCTCGTCAGTTCCGTCTGCCTGTAGTTGAAACGATGCTTCCCAGGTAGTTAGTAGGTAAAAGAGGTTGTTTCTTTCAGTTTCCTCCCATTTATGCTGATTGTCGTCTGTTGTTGTTGTTGCTGTTGGTGGTGTTGACCAGGAATCTTCATTACCTCTGTATTCCCTATGTTCACCTGAAGTCCTATCTTTGGTGCTTCTTCTGCCAACTTGTTGCTTTGTGGGAAATAAGACATATATCATCGGTGAAGTCCAGATCCTCAAAGTTTTTTGTGTGAGTCCATTTTATGCCTGTTTCCTCATTGCTCGCTGTCTGTCGCATTATCCAATCTACTGCAATCAGGAAAATCATTGGCGATAGTAGGCAGCCTTGTCCTACTCCTGTCCTCACTTCGATGGGTTCCGTAAATTTCCCATTGTGGATTACTTGGCATGCAGCATTGTCGTACAGCTGTTGGATGAGATGTATAATTGTCGGTGGCACCGCATAGTAGCGAAGTAGTTTCCAAATCACCTCTTGATCGACGCTGTTGAAGGCCTTTTCAAAGTCGATGAAGTTGAGATAGAGAGGTGACTGCAATTCCAAGCTTTGTTCAATGATGATCCTTATAGTTATATGAAATAAACGAGAAGCATTCATTGGTGTTAATTTTGTGACCAAACAATAGATAATCCTGGATTTCTACTCAGATTAATTGTATGTGGATTTTCTATGTGACTTAATGACCACTGTGAAGCATGTTCTTTCCAATGACACTGAAACATTCTATTGGAACTACCTGGTTTTGTTTTATTGTGAATCGTTCTAGTCGAAAAAAGATCATAGAGAAACTACAAAATGTTATCATCTCCCAGTATTTGTCTTTGTGATGCCTTATTTATATTTGGTGAGTGTATTTGTTATTTCTGATACATATAAATATTAAAATATAAACCAATCATGGTGTTTTGTCTATAGGATAATACGATGGTGAATATAAATTGTGCAATCAGTCATAATAGAAGTAATGATAATAATAACAATAATGGTCTTATCAATAATAAGGATGAAAAAGTGAGGCAATCTGTGATAACACGAATAATGAAAAAACAGCATGATTAAACAAACAAGTGTTCAGGTGGAAGTAGTCTGTAAAGGCTAAGAAAAACAAATGAACCGATTAAGTAATGTTAGATTGTAAGGGAAGTAAATGAAACACTTTTATAATGAAGATGTGATAAGATTAAGGGATGATAAGAGAGGAGTTGAAAATATAAGTAAGGGGTGGTGTAGAAGTCATTAGTTGGTTATGTCTTAATAGGCCAAGGGAGGAATAATGGCTGTACGAACTTCTTTTGAATACATAGTTTAGGTTTAATAGTTCGAATGCCTATCGCCTCAGCTGTGTGCAGTAGACGAATACGAAGTCTATTGGAAAGATTCGGTGGGATACGATGAATTACTTTAAAGGCTCTCGTTTTCTCGATTACATGATCACTATCAATTAGGTGTGACAAAATTGAGCTACGAATTGTTTTTGTCTGTCCTTTGCCAAACCACGATGGGAGATGTTCACTAACACGTTGGCTAAGCTGTCTAGTAGTACGCCCAACATAACTGTCACCTCAAGTGCAGTTGAACTGATAAATGCACATAGATGTGACAAAACTGTCTAGCTTATCCTTCGTTTGCGTCCAAATTATTCGTCGGTTAGAGAATGACAAACATAGGTGTGCTGCGTGAAATCTTCTTCGTATACTCCTGGAAAGTTTGCGGAATAAAATCTCACTTGATAAGTCGCCATTAAATTGTAACTTAATAAAAAGAGGTTTCTTACTTGCAGTCAAAGTCTCAGGTTTTCTATCTGATTTTTTCATGTTTCTTTATGAAACACTACTTAACATTACTAACATTACTTAATCGGTTTATTTGTTTTTACTAGCCTTTATTGACTACTTCCACCTGAAGAGTTGTTTGTTTAATCATGCTGTTTTTCATTATTCGTGTTATCACAGACTGCCTCACTTTTTCATCCTTTGAACAGCGTCAGATATCATAATTGTATATGACTTGATGGTCATTTGTAATTGAAAAGCATAAAACACAAGAATATCATGTAATCCCCATCATTATCACATACCTCATATATGAATAACTTTTCTGATGTTACTTCAGGATTGACACGGTTTTGCAGAGTTTCAGCCAGAGTTGAATTAATCTTATTTAACTCATGAAGTTCATAATTGGTTGACTTTGCTGGCCATGAAAATTTCAAGCGTAGTTTAGAGTTAGTTACTAAAAGTTCTACTGGTGGTACTTTAGCCGATAGACGGAATTCAATTTCAACACTTTGAGCAAGTTTTGCATTTGTAGCATGGAAACTAAGATGGAGAAGTGAAAAAAAAGTAAACGTTTTTAAAATAAACAGGATTATCTTCAAGTTATGAAGTTAACACAAGAGCAAGATGAAATTGTTATTATGTAGCTGATACCTAAGTATGTTGCTAGTTGATCATTATAACTGCATTTTCCATACCACTGATCCTCTGATTATTTTCTCAACAAAACTGTTGTTCCAAAGGCCTAACGCACTAAGGGCTAAGCGGTATATATGAATTCGCATTAGCATTAAATTGATTAGATATTTTGCCAGTGTTTTCTGTTTGATTAAAGACTTGTGCAGATTAGGAGAATATGTGAGTACACAGTTTAACTGCAGCTTTAGTCATTGGTTGCTATTATTTCATTCCTTTCCCTGCCCAGTGGAACATAGGGCTACAAGCTACAGGCTTGAAGTTTCTGTAGCAGTGATGTTCATTTTTACAGGGTGATGTTGCCAGTCTCATGTCCAACCTTCTCTCTTTACCAGTCCTATCACTGGCTTAGCGAGGTAAAGGAGTATGTGGGTGGGGATCGAACCTTGAACCACCAGTGTGGTTGTCGAGCATTCTACCGTTATGCCAACGATACCAGTCATTGGTTGTACACATGAAAATTGATTGAGATGGGGAGCGAAGCGAACGTGATATACTGACGACTTCAGATTGTTCTTGTTAATGAACTAGATTAAAATCTCCTCTTCAAATTACCTGCAACCTTCAGAATATACAGAACATCACTAATGTATAAAGAATTGATTCAAAATGCACATGTTATAACCACTTGAGAGTACTTAGCCGTTTAAAGTTAACACAATAATTGGGCAAAGCCAACAGCATTTCTTCAATAGATTATTTCTTTTTATTTGTTCGAGATCTGTGTGCTGGAAGTGTCATAATGTAGTGTGCTGTCATCAGAGCGAAATGTTATTAGAATCAGTCCTTGAAGTATAGCCAAAAACAAATGGGTATACTAAAATCTCTGTTGGAGGAATAACTGGAGTCAGGTAACCCATCTGACACTGCATCCGATAAGATTATTTTCTGTTGGAAAAAATCTGCAAATAATCCTCCTACACTCTGGTCTTCTTTAATGAATGGATGAAAGCAACTATCTCAATGTTGAAAATATCAAACAGAGTGGTACTTTCCGAGTAAGCAATTCTTTAGAGGCACTTAGGTCTATCGGAAGTTGACTCAGAGGTTCAAAAAGTAATTACACAAGTAGTAGTATCTGTAGATACCATTATGAATAGCAACGCTAATTGTCTCAATGTTTATAAGGATATTTCTGTGGACCACTGCTATCAAATGACTTTTCATCGAACAAGATGGGTAACTGGATCAGAAGTCTAAATACTCCTCTTCAAATACACGCGGTTGATTAATGCGAGCTGTTCTGTATACAAAAAGTAATTTGTGCTACTTTAGAACGCCTGGTGAGTTAAAATAACCTTTCCTCACTCCAGATTTTGAGCTTTTTTGTGCGACTGATGGCTGATTAACGACAGTATGCATAGTTATTTGCTTTGAGTGTTAGCTTTGTTGTAAAATTACTTAATTTTGCACTTCTACCAGCTGAAATACACGCCAACACGCCTCCAGTGCAGTCTGGATAGGAAGGGAATTGTTGGACGACTGAGGGTGGCAGTAAGGAAATCATGTGAAGAAGAAATGAAAGCTAGTGTGCGGTTGTGGAGTCAGCTAAAACAGACGACAAAGAACAGAATATAATAGAGATTATTTGCTGAAGCCCTATGTTTGACTCAGAACCCAAGAAAAGGATAATACTAATCAGTAAATGTCGAGAAGGAATTAAAGACCACCTATTGTTTTTATACCCTTAGTGAGTAAGTTACCTTTATTAGTTGCTTAAAATGGTTTCCATGGTAATCTGTGTATCAAAAGTGTTTACAGCATGTTTCAGTTTTGCAACAGAGAGTTCAATTTTTAAGTTTAGCGGTATGCTGATTGACTTTGTTACACAATACAATAGGTCATATTCAATTAATTTTCCCTTATTTTCCTTAGACTATTCTGGGTAGAAATTACTATCTAATGAAATAGATTGAAATTAATCTTACATATATGTGTACGGTGCTACACATCTTCACTGCTTATTGCTGACGATTAGAAAGTTTTCATACAAAAGTAGGATTAAAATATGGAGTAATTTGGCAGAAAAGCTTTGGAAAACTAATTGTATATTAATACAAAATTAAAAACTTACAAAAGTGTGATTATCTGTTCCATTTTCAAGCTACTGACTATGCATACTTCTCCGGTGTGAACATTCCATGAAAATGGTGAATCGCCTATTGAAATAATGAAAAAAAATTCGCATGAATTAGTTGTACTTTTTATCTGTAATATATATTCTCTCAGTTATGTAATAATACTTTTTGTTTACTTCAGAAATGTCATGCTAGTTTTACCAGTCAAATTTTCAATCAGCATATCACTCTGTTGCATAGTGTGTTGTGGGCGAAGTTCAACAATAGCGTCCCAGGAGTGCGAACGCTCCAATGACCTTGAACGCATGCTAGTCGTTGGCTGACAGCACTTGTCATTATCATAGCTGAAATATCAATGCTATTCACCAACTAAGCAGCAAATTTCACTCAGACCACGTTTTTAAGTACTCTTTTGAGAATGTGTTAATAGCTCCTTAGGGTTAGGATTAGGGTTAAGGTAAGAAGTGGGAGTTAGGGTTAGGATCAGGGTCATAATTAGCATTAGGATTAGGTTTACGCTTAGGATAAGGGTTGTAATTAGGTATAAGAGTAAAACTTGTGCACTGTGGTAGAATATAATTCCATTCTGATAAAGTCTCACAGTGTTATACAGTAATATTTACTGATGACGTTTCGAGCACAATTTATTGCTCATAATCATATCAAAGTTGTAATTAGGGTTAGGATTAAGGTTAGGGTTAGTGTTTAGTCTAGGATTAGGGATAGGTTTAGAGTTGATGTCATTTATTTTAATTTGGTTTCTTATCCATATTTTCCTGGTAAGCATTTGTCGATCCTCCAACTGGAGACCATAGTAGTTCAACCGAGGGCCTTTTGGGGAAGACTGCACAACAGGATAAGAGAAATAAAGAGTTCACAAAAACAGCTCGTCTTTAGTCACCTCGTTGAGTGCATGTACAGAAACTAGTTTAACTTAGGAACTGATACTCCTCATTATAACTGGGACGTGTTTTTAAGTCATATCAGAGAAAGATACCCTGTTTAATGTGTTTTCATGCATTTCTTCGCATAAATACGTCATTTTTTGTGCAAAAGTCAATTATTTTTATGAATGGTCGGCTGAACGTCACTCGTGCGTTCTCATCTCTTGGGACGCTGTTGTTGAACTTTGCCGTGTTGTGGTAGTGTAGAGTTTCAGAGGCTACCAGGGTGTATAATTCAACATCACATTATCCTTTTTTTATTTAGCTTTCAGTAGTAGTGAGTGAATATTGTTATAAACACCTAGTTTTGCCTAATTTTGCCTTAAACCTTAAAGCAGCTATTATAAGGAGTTATCGCGCACTGGAGTCAGCCATTTGTTTTCTGCTCTGTTTGGATTTCTGGATTCCTATTGGTTGTTAATACTTTAAACGCATCACTGAATTACTACATTTTCAAGGTCATTCTAACTGTACATATACAGAGTTTCTGTCCAGCATTTTGACTGTTGTTTGCGACATCGATAGCTCTCTCATCGTTGTCCAGTTTTTCATTTGTTTTTGTTATTTTTGCGTGCCGGCGGTGTTGTTGTTGTAGTTGTTGTTGTTGACGTGCAATTAGGACAGATTAGCCAGCGCATTAAGTTAGTATTCGCTAACAGTCTACTAGGTCGTAGTTCCAGTCATAACAAATATGCCTTTTCATGTGAAAGAATTCAGTAAATAAGCTGTTTTGTTTTTTTTGTTCGTTTATTGAAAAACCGTTAATTAAGTGCTTTGAATGATACAAAATAAGACAATATTTCTCGGAAATTTTAATCTTAAATTATGCTTAGTCACCCAGTATGGATGAGAGTGTGTTATTTTTCCTTCTACATACGTGATTTACCATGACTCCGACGTTTCGTCATTCGAACTTCCTCATTTTTTAGTAAATGTTGAATACACTTTTCATCACTGGGAAAAGAGAACATCACAAGAGTCAACTCTAGCTACAGATCGCCATTCTTTTATTATATGCTTATTGAGCTGGAAACTTATTTGCTCTGAGCAATATGAAATGTTTATGTTATGGCCTAGAATGTAAAATTTCTACTGGCCATCTACTTTCAAGCTTTTTAAAGGATGCAAATTTTGTGGACATTATCATCATAGTTTTTTGACTGGAGTTCAAACTTTGATTCTGACAACCAGTTTAAGATCATCAGGACGCTAACATTGAGATTAGAATTCGTCTTTTCGATTTGACAGAGACAGGCTGTTATATTCTAATCAACGAACTCTTCATATTATAGAAAGTAAGGTTCAACCGTTAGTAAAAGTACACAGAGCAAACAATTTTGAGATATCAATGGATTTGGTAATATTTCGGTTTGATTAAATAAGTAACCAGCGGAGTTGGTAAGGTCTAGTTCACTTTGAAATGTTCCGTTGTCTGTTAATATATGTGTAATACTTGGGCACTGTGATAGTAAGTAATTCCATATTAGTTTGTTTATTAGGTATATCACACAGTGAAACAGTATTATTCACTGGATGAAGAAGTTTCGAACACAATTTATTGTTCATAATCATATCAATTGTAATCACACGACTTTGACACTTGAGTTTTATAGTTTTCTTTGTTTTCTCCTATTTGTCGTATGGGTAGTAGAATTTTCCAGATATCGGGGACAAGTGGTGAATCATTCCTATTACATGTATTTGCAGTTGATTCGATAAACAAAGCTTCCGTTATCAATCTGTCCCTATACCATGTGACATTAGATTTTAACACTGTCGTCCTATCCCATCCTATTGTATGGTTGTGTGTGACTGCATGTAGTGCTACAGCTGAACTATTCTCTAGATTTCTTATCTTATTCGGGTCAACCAATCTAGATTTCGCTAAGTTTTTATGTTCAGCTAGTCTGACTGCCCCTGTTCTACTAGTTTGACCTATGTATTTGACCTGACAATCATTGTAGGCAGGGTATTAGATAAACTAAATTGTTTTGTTTTAAAGGCTCTACAGGATCCTTTAACCGACAAAGCTGGTTTCTAGTTCAGTTTGTTGGTTTCAATGCCGTTTACCAAGACAGGAATAAAAACGGCAGGGGCAGTCAGACTAGCCGAACATAAAATCTTAGCGAAATCTAGATTGGTTGATCCAAATAAGATACGAAATCTAGAGAATAGTTCAGCTGTAGCACTACATGCAGTCACACACAACCATACAATAGGATGGGATAGGACGACAGTGTTAAAATCTAATGTCACATGGTATAGGGACAGATTGATAACGGAAGCTTTGTTTATCGAATCAACTGCAAATACATGTAATAGGAATGATTCACCACCTGTCCCCGATATCTGGAAGCTCCGTTGTCTGCTTTGTAGTGGTGTCTGTATATTTCTATATAGTTTGGTAATCAAATGCCATAAATGCCCAATGGATGGCCTGCAATTTTAGTGTATTCAGTAGTTGTTGCTCACTGGTTTGTGCCAATTTCTGGCTTTTGATTTTGCAATAGATCAGTCTTTCATTATCCCTCAGTTATAATGCATAAAACAAGTAAATTAGTATTTCCTTTGAAAGTTTCATAAAACTTAATTCATGAGTCAGAGGCAGATATACGTAAAAATTGTATTTGCAAAAACTTAGAAAGTTATACTCACCTTTAACTTCTAGATCTAATTTGTCAAACGAGAGTATTTTAAGTTCTTTAAACCAATAAATTGGTATATGATAACACCAAAATACACCTTGAAGATTAAAGAACACAGTGTAAAAAGAAATAATAACATGACAAATAGAGAAAAGTAAATCATTCTTCACAAATTTAAATCTATTTGTATTCATCATTGATTGATTATATAATGGGATGAAATGCTCGGTCTCTGTTGAAACTTCGCCTCTTAGTGCGGACACTTAGACAATGTCTGAAGACTGATTTGGCGTTATGCAGTCCGTGGTGACTAGCAGTGGAATCCAATATATAATATAATCAATCAAATAAAACAAAGAACAACTGGTACCTGTTTCAAAAGAGGGGTCTATTGTGACTCATTGTTCTAAAGGATTACGCTTTGGCATTTGAAACGATGTGTGCAGAGTTCGAATCTCAGTGGGAATATCATCCATCACTGAGGATGCAGATACATCTAACTTATGAGTCCTAAATAGGATGAACTGCGCATCCTAAAGTCTACTACCAGCTACCATCCACTAAATAATATCCTTCATAAAGTTTATCATCGTATAAATATATATATCTTTGTTTAACACCTGGGCAGAAAAGCAACGCGTTAATTCTATAATTTAATCTCTAAAAGACACGAAAATTGGTTTGTGAAATAAACACACCTGTAAACATTAAATATGAAATTATTTACCAGATATGAAGTTATATCTCAATAACTCTTAAAATACAAAATTTCCTTACCTAAGTACCAAAATCTTTATATCATCCCATTCATTGAAATATAAAATTAGCGAATTTTCAAAGAGTCTAATATATATATGAGTTTAAGTATTGGTTTTCAATTATTATTATTATTTCAATTATTGGTTTGTCAGGATTTGGTTGATTGGTTACAGGATTTCATCATGAGCTGACATTGGTTAGAGAACCATTGGAAAACCTGCAGGGAGTAATGGACAACTGTTTCGTCATAGTTTGGGACTCTTCATCAGTACCCACCCAAGGGTTTCAAAGCAAAGACCTCCTGGTTACAAGGCGGGCTAGCTCGTATACCATTAAGCCACTGGTACCCGATCCAATGGTCCATGAATTCTAACTTCCGCCAATTCACGATACAGCGCAACCGCTAGCCAATGTCTTCGGCGAGTATTTGTCCTCACACCCGACCTGCTGCACCCTACTGGTCACGACTTCCCACTGGAACCCCAGGTAAGGTATATGAGTTTAGCCGGATGAAAGCTACCTGGAGAAGTCTTAAAAATACGTTTGCATCAATGTTATATTGGAATACTATGTCTAATCACAGAATATACACATTGGATCATAGGAATTGTTAAAAAGACGGTTGCAGCGAAGAAAAGTTTCTTTTCGACGAAGTCATCAACTGAGCTGTACATTTGTGTATTTATATTACAAGTTCCAGAATTATTTTCGGTCAAAGGTTAAATTGATAAAATTACTAAGTGTAATAATAATAAATGTAATCATCAACTATTGACAAGCTTCATCTCTAAAAGAGATACACTGATGATACTTTGATTATTTGTCATGAGAATTGTGATCTAAAAAACCTACTCCAAATCTTAAGAAACGCCCATCCAAACATCGACTTCACTCTGGAAGTTGGGTGTGATTCAATGTTTCACTTCCTCGATGTCCAACTGAGAAGGAATGCTGACAACTCGCTAAGAAGATCCATCTAGAAAAAGCCCACATGGAATAGACAGTTTAACAACTTTCAAAGTTGTGTGCCTCTAGGCAGAAATAGGAACGTAATTTACTCTCTTTCCTCGAGAATACGGAAAATTTGCACTGAGGAGTAAATTTACGAAGGATTGCGTAATCTCCGAGGGACCTTTAAAGAAAATGATTTCCCACCCAGATTCATAGACAAGAATCTAAAACCAAGGAAAACTCTTGAAAAGGTCCAAGTCGTCCCCAAAATATGCTGATACTTATCCTCGAAATTAAAAGTGATGCTTACGCAGAACTTCTTTGTAGACAGCTTTCAAAGTCTCACAGTAAAACATCCTTTGCCGCCAACCTAAAAGCAACATTTTCTTGCAACAAACTATTCAAGCAGCACGTGAAAGATAAGTTGTCGCTTAAGGCCAGTTCACTTGCTCGTGTAGAGCCGAGTACATTGGCCGTACCATGCATCCGCTTGTAAAACGCGTTCGAGATCACCATTCAGCATGGTTAGAGAAGGGGGAACGCAAGGGTGTATAAAGTTTGGTAACAGAACACCTGGTGAATTCAGGACATTCAGCTCCATTCGAAAAGTCTTTCAAAGTCATATACAAGATCCGATCAAACCTATCAAAGGGGGTGAAATCAAGGCATCTAGAAATAGCTGAGGCACTGGCGTTTCGAAAACTCAAACACACTGTATGTGTTCAGAAGAATAACCTCAAACTGTTGTCCTTACCGTGGCCATCATGAAAAGTCAGCTCCACCAGTAATGATTGCCTTATTACCTTTCCTATCCAACCTTCCTGTTTTTTCTGTTATTTTTTACGTTTTTAATTCTAATTTGCATTGCTAGATTTGGTTGGGTTTTTTCATTTTTATATGTCCGAACTTCCTACCTATTACTGACAAGTTTTCCAGTAATTATAATCTTGTTATATCTTTTATACCAGATCTTCCTGTTTAGTACACTTCTCAATTTTATCAATTTAACCTCTGACCTGAAATAATTCTGGAACTTTCTCACACATTTAGGAAAAATACACGAATGTACAGCCTAGTTGATATCTTCGTCGAAAAGAAAATTCTCCTCACTGCAACCGACTTTGTTTAATGTTTTTAAGTTTTATGTATCAAGACTGAGTTCCTTCAAGGTTGCAGGTACGCCTTACTGACTGGTGAGTGCCAACTAGCACAAAACCTAGGTCCAAGGCTGCCTGGTGATTGCCTCCAACCATCTAATATCAACAACTCAGTGTGAATCGTGATGGCGAGGTACCTATAATGGTGGCCACATTGCAAACCTGACTGATAGAATTCAGTCTGCACCTAACAAAGGACTAGCTAGACACATCACACTAGTTACTAGTGTCCGATCAAAGAATAGTTGATTATTCATCTGTTGGTCTCCATTTGGTATAAAAAAAGGTCTTCGAAAAATAAAAAAACTTAGATCTTGTACAATATGATGTCTCCAAATAACTTAAACAAACCTGTTTTGATAAGCTGAAATACTCTTGTGCATTGAATTTTGTCAATCACACTATGTTTCTATAGTGAAATCGATTATGTTTACATTTTTCATGTAACGTCAATCATTTGGATCAGGAAATATGATTGTAGTGTAAGTTATTATTATTACATGACTCCCTTAGAAGATATTTAAAAATTAAGTTTATAGTATTTCTGGATTGTTTTCATTCATTTATTCACTCACTCACTCAGTCAGTCAAGATGAATAACAACTGATTTAAGGAAGAGTAGAAAGAATTCTGGTATTCTACATAATTCAGTTGACCTCCTATCTTGTATTAGCTCTTTCCCATTCACAGCGTTTAAAAAATATTTAGTCATAACTAGACTGTTCAATAATGCCAAAAGTTCAGTTATATGAAGTAGAATTCAATCGCAGTTGACAAATTAGATGAGAATTTAGCATGATATTAAATCTGAATCATTGCCGTAACAAAGACAAAAGTCTCTGTTCTAGTAATATGCACCGCAGATTTCTACTTGACCTAAGTCAAACGGACAAGGATGTCAAATCGAGAATCGGGTAGGCGAGAAACACATTCATCAACCTGAAACCAATCTGAAAATCTTCGTCACTCAGCCTGCATCAACAACAAAATTCGGATTTTCAATACAAACGTCAAGTCAGTCAGTTCTTCTATACGGATGGATCAGAAACTTGGCGGCGGGTCACAAAGAATATTTCCAACAGCCTGTTGCACACCTTTATCAACAACTGTCTTCGTTGCTCTATACTGAAGATCAGATGGCCGGAAAGAACAAGAACCAACAAGAAACTATGGGAACAAACAAAAGAAACAAGAACCAATCTCTCAACAAATATGCAGGAGAAAGTGGAGATGGATTGGACACTCACTGAGGAGGAGGCCGTTGGGTGACATCGCGCGTCAGGCCAATGCTCGAGTGGAACCCGAAAGGGAAGTGGCGGGTGGGACGTCAGTGCAAGAGTGACATGGAGGAGATCGTGTGAAGTGGAGTTGAAACAGTATGGACTAACATGGATGCAGGTGAAAAGTACAGCATAAGACAGAAACAGGTGGAGACGTGCAGTTGAAGCCCTATGTTCCACTAGGAACCCAAGGGAACAATAATAATAATAAGTCAAATGACTGACAGAAATACATGAAAAAAGTCGTCAGATCAATGTAATTAACGGAAATCTCCACTGATGACGTAAAGCTGTGCAAAAATGACAACAATTTACTATTCAAACTTGCATCGAAATTCGTTTAGGCTAATCAACAACTTATTTTCAATTACCATGAGTTGAGCAGAAAACTTGTAGCCAGACGGTTTTGTCACTACACTCTGTATTCATTAGTTTCAATTATGCGTGTCTTCTCTAAGACGGCATCTCTTTATTTTCTTCTCTAGTTAGATCAAATTTGCAGTAGACGCTAAAACACTGCATTGCACGTTTTGTGATCGATGGTACAATTTTTGAAGTATCTGATAATATAACAATTTCAAAGTTTCGTCTACTGTTGGAGGCCAACAATATTAGTTCCAAAAATTAACTAAATACCGAGAGTTAACTAAAAATTCACTTCTCCAGATTCATTCAAGCGTGAATTCTTCAGATCACTTAAGTGATGGTTTAATGTTAACCAATACTTAAGTTTTAGATAACACCAAAAATCGAGCAAAGACTTCTGCTATTTATAAACTATAATACTATTTACATTTGTTTTTGCACAGTTCACAGTTTCAAAAAAAGTTGAACAAAGTAATTGAAGATAAGCAACTGCACAATCGACTTCGAAAAGGCTTTCACCAGACACTGTTGACTGAGAAGTAATTTTGAAGCTACTTCAACAATGCGGCGTGCAGTGCCCAAGTCCTTATCAACCTCACTCATTCAACAGCTGGCTAGATGACAGTGCCACATGTCAGGTGATCCACAGCGGAAAACTCAGTGAGGCGTTCGCAGTGAATACAGGAGTAAGACAAGCCTGGCTGCCTATTATCACCACTGATGATATTCTTAACTGTGGTGGACTGGATTATACGGAAGACTGTGCGTGAAAGCGAGAAGACAGCAATACGTTGAACTGATTGAATAACTCTAGAAGATCTGGATTTTGTGCGCGGATTATTTATTTATAATGTCCATTATATACTCGAATACTTGCAGGTGAAAACCAACAAACTGGATGAAGAGGCTGGCAGCGAAGACAGGACTCTAGGTGAACTAAGAGAAGGTGAAGACGGAGGTGATGAACATAACTAACCACCCCCACCAGCAACAACAACAAGCAGCACCATTCATCATCAACGGGAGAGATCGAACAGAGATTACCTTCTTCACTTATCTGGGAAGCATCGTTTCAACTACGGGAGGATGGCATGGATAAAGATGTCAAAAATGCCCAGAGTCAGAAAGTCAAGACACGCCTTCATCAACCTGAAACCAGTTTGCAAATCTTCTGCACTCAGCATAAAGAAGAAAATTCGGATTCTATTCAACACCAGTGTCCAGTCGGTTCTTCTAGACGGGTCAGAAACTCGGTGTGTCACGAAAAGGATTTCCAACAGATCACTGCAAACTTTTATCAACAGCTGCCCACTTCGCTGGCTTCATACTGAAGAGGACATGAGAAAATAGAAGAAAGTGGAGATGTGTTGTTGAAGCCCTATGCTCCACTAGGAACCTAGGATCCTAGACAATAATCGATTCGACTTCAAATGAAAAGAATAAATAAATATTTGACTTTATAGTGAGAAAAAACAAGCTCATTTAATAGTAGAGGTGTAGCTGAATGTTAGCTGTCAATGGACAAATGTAATCTCTAATATCCACTATTAAATGAGTAACTTTTTGTAAAGTTGAGCATCAACTGCTTTTATTAGTTAAACATCATGGAGATTTCGGTGTTCTGTGAGCGTTAATATTTCTGTCTGAGAGTTGATTACACTTGATTACACTTATTCTGTTTGTATTTTATTCAGTGTCAGAATAGATTAAAATCAGCTAATGCGATCATGTTGCACATAAATGAGACTATGAGATATAAGGAGAAAAAAAGGGAAATTAGACAACACTTCTACTTTACAGATCTAAGAGTTTTACTTCTCTTTACTGTGACTACTGAAACATCGTAGATTGCTGAGTGAACAAACTAATGAACATTGAATTGAAGCGAAAGAAAGAAAAAAACAAACAGAGTAAGTGAGGCGTGAGCAATTGATTTTCTACAATAAAACATGTACAGGAAGAAAAAATCTTTGGCAGACGGAAAGAGAGAAAGAGATAGAGAGAGAGGGTAAAACATGTGTGATAAGTTAGTTATTTAGAGTATTTAATGTATCTCACAAGATGAGGTCTAGAATTCATGTAACAAACAAATGACGTTAGACATCAGTCTAGCCAGAATGTAATTAGACAGTTTATTTTATAAGCATAAATGTCACGAAAAACTAATTAGTTATCGTGCACAGTTTTTCAAGCATAAATTTATATAATGAAGAGTAGAGTTTGAGTTCTGTAATAGAATATAATTTCTGCATAGAATAGTTTTAGATATGATGGAGAAGATTTGTAGCTCAGGTGGATGATTTTGGTATGGTTGTGTTCTCTGAGCTAGCCGGATGGTTTAGTTGCGAAACTTTCATTGTCCTACTAGGTAACATCTTCAGCGCATACTTCAATTTGAAGTGGGCTTTTAGATTTCTGCTCCGAGTTTATTAGTCATGTCTCCTGGTGGACTTGAAAATGATTAGTTGATTTGTGTGTTTTCATACCCTCTAGGCTACTTGTATTGGAACTGATTAATTCCTCGACTTGAACTTTAACCCTCTGTGTGTGAGATTTCCTTCTTATCGGCTGGTAAATTTTGTCTATCTCGATGTGTCTGACGATTCACTGGAATACCAGGCTTCTAAAAATTCTTTAGCATTCTAGGTGTTTCCTCTGTCTAATATGTGGCCGTTGTCCCAGTCAAACTGACATCCATGGTTGTTTGTATGTAGTGATATGAGTGAGTGGATATCATGTCTTCTGACGGCCGGCTTATGTTCATGGATACGAGGACGAAGGAGACGTCCATTTTGGCCAATGTAGTGTTGCTCACAGTTGTTACAGTTTGTTTTGTAGATGATGTTGGTTTTATATTCTTTCGTTGTTGAGTCTTTTGGCTGACACGGAGCTGGCTGAGTGAAGTGAATTTGTTGGCTTGTGTGCGATGTCAATTCCTAAAGGTTTGAAGAGTCTTGCGGTGATTTCTGATTTGTCCTTTATATTTGGTAGGGCAATTTTCTTTTTGCTTTCCTTGGGGGGCGTTTGGTTTGATAGGTTGGCTTAATGGGTATATGTCTTTTGATGAAATTCCGTAGATATCCATTCTTTTGTTGCCTAGTAGGGCAATGAAATTTTCGCAACTAAACCATCCAGCTGAGAGAACGCAACTAAATCAAAATAGAACAGTTTTATTTGACAAAAGCACACAGTGTACCGATGACGTCTCCAGGAGAATTCATTTTTCATAATCTTATCATAGCATAAATTCACTGTTGTCCATAGGATTGAACTTTCCATTTACTAATATTGTGGATACCGCTTTTGTGAAGATCTAGCGCATAATACCTGAGTCACAGTTATAACAGAAATTAGAAAAGATTGCCTTATACACCTATCACAAAAAGTCAACAAAATTTCTGGGAGTTTAAAGACTCATTTGTAAAATTTATCCCCAATTGAAAATGTTTTTTCTGCTGAAGTTTGAAGTTAATAATTCACTTCTAACAGAAACAAAGGCAGCAGTTTGTTGAGCCGTCACAGTAAATTTGTTTGAATCCCCTAGCGCCATTTCAGGCTGCATATTTATGCACAAACATTGAAGTGTAGGTAAAATATAAAACGATCATCAGGATAATCTATCTATTGCTCAGAGTTTGCAGAGACATACTACTGTAGAACAACAACAAACTTGAGGTTACGCGAATTCTTCCGATTGCCTCGAACTATCTAATATCACCAAATCAAATACTCGCCGAACACATTGGCTAGTGGTTGAGCTATGTCATGGATTGGCAGAAGTTAGAATTCATCGGCTGGCCACTGGATCGGATCCCAGTGGCTTAATGATCTACGAGCTAGCCCGCCTTGTAACCAGAATGTCCTGAGTTCGAACCCCCTTGGGTGCGTACTGATGAAGAGTCCCAAACTAGATTGACGAAACAGCTGTCCATTACTCCCTGCAGATTTTCCATTGGTTCTCTAACCGATGTCAGCTCATGATGAAATCCTGTAACCAATCAATCAAATCCCTACAAACCAATACTTGAATCCCTCCTTTTTATTTGGTGTCACAAAGCAAATATGTCACAATGTCATATCACTTAAATTAACGATGCAGCTGGAAACGTAATTAGTAGACGTAGATTGACACTTTAAAACAGATAGCTATCATGGTTAACACTAATTTGTTGGTTTATACATTAAGATTCCATCACAGTTATTAGAATCAACACTGTGGAGTTATTGATAATGTCATCATTAAACAATCTTCTTAGTTTGTCTTAAAGAACAGTTTGAAATGATGCACAATCAGCCTTGAAACATTTATTGGTTATTTCATATTACACTCAATGAACACTTAAACGCCAGAAAAGCCTTTTTACCTATTGTGTTTATGGTCCTGATTAGTAGAAAGGTCCTAATTAACAGAGATATTCACTAGATTTGAGAAGAATACTTATGAAATTGAGGAATGAAAAGTTTATCAAATATGATTTTAAACCATAAAAAGGCTATTAAAAGTTTCTCACCTTCACAAGATTAATATTTTCTTTTAAATGTAAAAAGTAAAATTTAACTGGGAGCTTTTAACTTACCTGGAGGTATACGCAAGATAAAATTCTTTCGGAAAGGAGATGGTCTCTTCACAATTATTTGGAATGGTTCTAAAAGTAGGAGAAAAACAGATTTGTGAAAATAGTTAATTAATTAATATTTATAAATATTACCGTCTACATTTTCTGAAGTTAAATGGAGGTTAAGACAGAGGAAACGTTTTCGAAGTGGGTCCTTTATAATAAAGCAAACGTTATGAACATGAAGTGATGTACTTTGATTTTTTTGCTGTGAAGATTTCGAAAACCACGATAGTTCGGTAAATTTAGCCTCACTGTACCTATTCAGCGATCATAAACCTTTGAGGAACAATTTTGAAAATTAGACGGCTTTCAGCTACGTTGTAACTAGTGAGCACTGTCTGTTAAAAACCCTAAGTTAGGTCAAGATTGTTCAGTACATTGACATTTCTGAAGCACAGTGATGAAATACAAAATGGTTGAAGAACAGGTCATTAGACTTAAAGTTTTTCAAGTAAAAGGTGCTTATTTACGGCAATCTATACGAGTCACAAGTTTTTTTAAGTTCCTTTTACTTTCTGAGGGGAACATAAGGCTTTAAGTCCCAGCTTTGAAGTTTCATTAGCAGTGATGCTTTCCACGCACAGGATTGCTAGTACCACGTTCAACCTTCCCTCTCTGTCACAGTCACAACCGACAAAGTCAGGTAAAGGTATACACCGGTCAGGTATCGAACCCCGGACCACAGGCATGGTTGGCGAGCTATGTGGTAACTGTTGTCAGATTAACTGTTTGATAATTTGTTATCAAATAAAGTGTACTTTGAAGTGTAGACATTCTTTTACATGTTGGAAACAGACTTCTAGTCAGACATTTAATGCACAATTTTATTGGTAAATAGTTTTACAGTGAATTTTATAAACACTAGAATTTTTGGACTGCTATATAGACGAAATCAAACTGTTTGTGTACGCCTACATGTCTACACTTTTTAACGAACACAAAAGATGACTGTTTAGATTAAATAAGTTAAACAGAAATATATTTTGTAAATCCTAATGAGGAAATAAAGTCTTAACACATATATTCTTCTTGCGTCGGTGACACAGAGGTATAATGCTCGACAACTATGCCTTACATGGTCCGGAGTTCGATCCCCGGTCGACGCACTCCTTTACCTCACTAAGTCAGTAATAATACTTGTAAAGAGGGAAGGTTGGACGTGAGACTAGCAACCCCATCCCGTAAAAATGAACACCACTGATACCAAAACTTCAAGCCTCTAGCTTGAAGCCTTATTTTCCTCTGGGAACGTAAAGGAATAAAATAAGATATATCTTTCATTTTTTAATGATAAAGTCCTCATTTTACATATATACTACAAATGATAATGAGATATATTCTCTCTAGAATTGGTAGAACCTTAGTAGTTTAATTTCTTTTGTTATATTGAAGGAACAGATAGTTAGATTATTATTATTTCCTTTAATTCCTAGCGGAACATAGGGCTTCAGCTGCACGTCTTCATTGCGTCCGGTTCTCTGCTAAAGTTTTCACCTGTCTCCACGTCTGCCCACATGCTTTCATCTCCTCTTCACATGACCTTCTCTAAGTCACCCTCACACTGACGACCAACTCTCCGCTTCCCTTTCGGGTTCCACTCGAGTAATGGCTTGTCTAGTGATGTCACTTGAAGGATTGTTTTCTCAGAGTATGGCCAGCCAATCCACCTCCATTTCTTCCTGCTTATTTGCTGCATAATCGGTTTTTGGTTGGTTCGCTCGCAGAGATCTCTGTTACTGATCTTTTCTGGCCGGCCATCTGATCTTGAGTATTGAGCGAAGGCAGCTGTTGATGGAGGTCTGTAGATAGTAAGATAATGTATCAAAATGACAGATCATACATTTTAAAGGCTCTTTCTTTTCTGGCGATCAAAACACATATTCATTTTCCGTTTGTTACAAGCAGTGATTTCTTGTCTGTAGAATAATGGACAGAAATGAAGCTGAACAACGTGATAATCCCATATTTGTGGTAGAAGACAAGTGAAGTGTACTACTTATGTGGTACAACAACAAAAGCAGATAAGTTTACACCGCTTTATTCCCCTACTGTCCTACATACATAGAACTCCTTCAGACTATTTAATCCTTCTCTGTTTTCAAATTTTCATAAATGATATGTCTCTTATGCAAAGACTTCTCTTCAATTGTATATAATTACTACTACCGATTTTAAAAGAGTTTTCAACTAACTGACCTAGTGATCTAGTGGACTCAGTTCATGATTATTAATATTTCCTTTAATTCCAAGGGGAACATAGGGCTTCAACTGCACGTTTTCATTGCGTTCGGTTCTCTGTTAAAGTTTTCACCTGGCTCCAGGTTTGCCCACATGCTTTCATCTCCTCTTCATATGACCTCCTCCATGTCACCCACCCTCTCACTGACGACCAACTCGCCACTTCCCTTTCGGGTTCCACTCGAAGGCTTGTCTAGTGATGTCACTTGATGCATTGTTTCCTCAGAGTATGGCCAGCCAATCCATCTCCATTTCTTCCTGCCTATTTGTTTCACAATCGGTTCCCGCTGGGTTGGTTCGCTCATTCCCAGAGATCTCTGTTGCTGATCTTTTCTGGCCATCTGATCTCGAGTGGTATTGAGCGAAGACAACTGTTAATGAAGGTCTGTAGTTTGTTTGAGATGCTCTTTATGACGCGCTGGCCAAGTCTCTGATCCATCCGTATAGTAGCACTGACTGACTTCACATTGGAGTTGAAAAACCGAATCTTATTTTTGATGCTGAGTGCTGTTGATCGCGAGTGAGTGAAGAAAGCTTTCTTTGCTTTTCTGATCCTTGCTTTGATATCCTCGTCAGTTCAACCTGTAGTTGAAACGATGCTTCCCAGGCAGGTAAAGGAGGTTATTTCTTTCAGAAGTCTCCCATTTATGCTGACTGATTGTTGTCTGTTGTTGTTGTTGCTGTTGCCCAGGAATCTTCATCACCTCTGTTTTCTCTATGTTCACCTGAAGTCCTTGCTATCTTTGATGCTTCTTCTTCCAATTTGTTGCTTTTCACTTGCATATCTTCCAGTTTGTGGGAAATCAGATATATATCATTGGCGAAGTCGGCGATCAAGATTAAACACACACACACACACACCAATAAGAAAACTTAGTCTAACACCTCTAAGGCGCCCTTTCGCATATAATAAATTAATCTCTTAACAAACAATAGGTAATGAAAAATAAAAATTAGAAAAAAATATATACGAGGCAATAGTTGACTACTATTTCAGTGCTTTAATAAGTGGAAACATTGCGCCAATGGATGATACACGACAATAACCCTGATAAAATAACTGGACACACTGAATTACTTATTATTCGGATGACTCTATTCTGATTATTATGTTTACACTTTCATATGCAAATGAAATGATGATTGCAAGTCTAATAAATACAGAGTGTATTTTACTAATATATGCAGCATAAAATTGTTTTCTTTTTATCCTCATAGATCAATCGATTTTTTCAGTTCATTTGAATGAAGTATAACAACCAGTCCAGGTTAATTTGCACGTATCAATGTCATCAGCTGTCGCATTTTTGTCATTTTAGAGCAGTTGACTTTAACAGTATTATCATTTGTTCTACATATTGTCAGCTGGACAAATAAGTATAAAAGAGACAGAGAGCATTAATACTCTTTTTAAAACTAAACACTTTCAATACTCACTACAAAAGCCTACTGTTTTAATGTGTCGCTGAAATATAAAAGTTATGCCTTAAGGCAACCATTATTATCACTATTTATTCTTATTGAATTGTCACTGTAATCGTTTTTGGAAACTGTTCTGTGAGGGAAAAAGATTTTGGAACACCGTGTGCCATTTTAATCACTTCATAATAAATATTGTCTGTTTCAGGAAATAAGTATTGGTATTTCAGTTTGAATGACTTTTTTTCTCTCGCTTATTTTAAGCATCTTACAGGAAAACTGTTGGGAAAAATGTTCTCATTATCCTTACTATTTTTAACGATGGATGTTATATGCATGACGAAATTATTCTGTAAGGGAAATATGCTCTACCACAGTGCCTAAGTTCCGTTCTAAGGTAATAATGTAATAATTTTTTTAAACAATTAGTTCCCTGTATGAATTTAGACTATGCAATAAGAAGACGTGGCAGCTTGAACTGATGCAGAGACTTGGCGCTGTGTCACGAAGGGCACTTCGAACAAACTACACACCATCATCAACGGCCCTTGCTTCGCTCAATACTATTCTAGATCAGATGACCAGAAAAGATCAGAAACAGTGATGTCTGGAAGCGAACCAAGCAGGAGGCAATTTTGCAACAAATATGCAGGAAGAAATGGAGGTGGATTGACTGTACTGTGAGTAAACTATCAAGTGACATCACACGCCAGACCATCACTCCAGTGGACACCGAACTGGGAACGGCAAGTTGGTCGTTAGTGTGAGGATGACATGGAGGAGGTGATGCGAAGAGGAGATGGAAGCATGTGAACTGACGCGGAACCAGCTGAAGTTGGTGGTGGAGAACTGAATGAAATGGAGACGTGTGGCTGAAGCCTTATGTTCTTCTAGGAACTAAAGGGGACAATAATAAGTAAGATGGCATAATTTGTTTGAATTGTGTAATATATCTGCGCGACACATTATAAACAATCTAATGACACACAGACTTTTCATAGGAATATATATGAAATCAATAAGGAGTTAAGAGGTGAGAAAATAGACACAGGTCAAGTTAAAAGGACATGTTGAGGGTCAAAATAACAAATGAAGATCACTAAACCAAATAACAGAGGTGATAGTACATCTGCTACAGTATCGAAATAAAGTTTGCCAAGGAAGCTTTAGTGTGGTGACGAATTGTTGCTTTGAACCCATAAAGGTGGTTTAAACTTCCTAACTACCAGCTAGGGCTTCCACAAACCTTAGGATCCGCCCTCCTCCAAACACGTTCTATAGATAGGTCTAAAAGATGTGTAAACTTCAATTTTATGTCCTCTCTCTATAAAATGTTTCGGAATAGAGGAGCTAGGTCTCCTGTTCTCACG